GGCTTTCAGATTCAACATATTATTTCTTATTTCTTATGACATGGAAATAAAAACCTGCTTGATTTGAGCCTCTTCCTTCTCCAGCTTCATCCTCTGGATCCTCAACATCTCCTGTCTTTGCTAAACCAGGGGAATAGGAGCGAATAAGTAGAACTATAGGGAATGAGGAAAATGGGATGGTATAAAGTGGAATGGGAGGGAACAAAGGGGAATGGGAGGAAATAGAAGGGAATAAGAGAAACTAGGGAGAATAGGAAGGAATCAGTGGTATAGTAATAATTCAAGAGGATAAGAGGGAATTAGGGGAATATGAAGAATTCAGGAAAATTACGAGGAATTAGGAGCATAGCAATAATTTAGAAGAATAGCAGGGAATCAAAGGAACAGGAAGAATTCAGGAGAATGTGAAGGTATCAGGTAAATATGAAGGAATCATGGAAATAGGAGGGAATCTGGTAAATAGGAAGGAATCAGAGGAACAGGAAGGAAGCGGGGGGAATAGGAGGGAATAAGGGAAATATGGGGAATAAGGTAAATGGGAGGGAATAATGGAGAATGGAAGAAAATCAGGAACAAAGGTGAAAAAGGCGAATAAGTTTAAAAGGGGGAAATAATGTAAAACGGGGAATCAGGGGAATAGGATGGAATTAGGGGAATAGGAGCGAATTACTAAAATATGAGGGATAATAGGAAGGAATCAGCGAAATGGGAGGGAATAAGGAGAAAAGAAGGGAATCGTTAGAATAGGAGGGAATCAAGGGAATAGGAGGAAATCGAGGGAATAGGAGGGAATCAGGGAAATAGTAGGAAATCGAGGGAATAGGAGGGAGGCAGGGGAAAAGTAGGGAATTGGAGGGTATCAGGGAAATAGGAGGGACTTAGGGGAATAGATCAAGGGAATAGGAGGGAATCGGGGGAATAGGAAGGAATGAGGGGGGAAAATATTAATATTCAAATTGACTACCCATTATATTAAGATTCCCTTGGTATGTTTACATAGGAATGTTTAATTCAATTAATTAATTAAGTTCTAACAATTCAGAAGACGACATTTTTAATATTCCTCAATATAAACATAATAACATAATAAAATGTGCAATCGAATTCTGGTTTTTGATGCCTTGAGCTTTGTCGCCATATCCTGCTCCAGTATTCGTCCTTAACAAGAAAATGATGATAATCAAAACAACAATTAAATAGAGTGATAATAATANGGGGGCAAGTACCCCTTGGGGTCTGAAAACCCCCATATATTTCATTGGTCATAGCCCTCATAGCCAACCTGACTACGCCTATATTATTAGTAGTTACTAAGGGGGACATATTTATTAACAGTGAATAACTCTCCAGTTAGCAACTTAATATCTTCTCATCCCAAAATCATCACTCTTTCCAAAAACACTGTACCTGTGTTAGCTTCCTGGCTAATCGTCACTTTCTGCTTTAGAATCCGATCTTCAGGGGTAAATAGAACACTGGGTTGTTGACTAGAAATTAAAATGAAAAAATTAAAATAACATATGATGATTCAAAGAAATTCCCGTCTCATAAAATGATATTTATATTTCACCCCGCCTCTCGACGACAACGCTTGTCGTCTTCCTAAAATCACATGAGCCCAGACTTACAGAATATAGTGCTTGAAATCCGTTTAACTTAGTTTTCTTTATATATTTTTAAGTGCTACAATGCCTCAAAAAAAAACCAGTTTTTCAAGGGACACCCTGCATATATGTCATGGATTACAAGGGGGGCTTTGTGAAAAAAGGAGTTTTATTAATATTTATTATACTTAATGCGTATTTTTAAATAGTCTAATCTTCTATTTAAATTGTGAACATGTTCTTTTTGTTTACATTTTAAAACAAAGAAGAAACAAATTTTGCGGATTTTTAAAAAAAAAATTCGCGGATTTTCAAGAATTTAAAAATTAAAACCTTTAAAATACATTTTTTTTAATTTTTATCATTCATAAACCTTCCTTGTGGTCACGTATGTCCCACAAAAAATTTGGGCCCGATCAGTTCAGCCGTTTTGACGTTTATTGGATACAAACAAACAGACACCCAAACAGACAGACAAGCCAAATTTATATATAGATGAAGAAGTCCTTCAGGACTATCATGTTAATAAGGTAAAAAAGTATTCTCTTACTCTTGGAGTAAGAAAGCATCGTCGTCTTCATCCCAGATATTCTTGCTCTTTATAGAACCTTAAATACAAAACGATTTTTATAAACAAATTAATATTAAAAATGAAATCGTAATCTTTTCAACGTTTTTAACACTACTGCAGCAAAGTTTAGTTATAGTAAAGAGGGGGTCCCACGAATCATGACAGTAGCACGACGACTTGAAAGTCGTCATAGAACTTTGAATTTATTTGTGACCAGTGCGTAGGATCCGGATCCGGATTCGTTGGATCCGCAAGATTTTGGCTTCCTGGATCTGGATCCGCAAAAATGTGCAGATTCACGGATCCAGGTCCAAGGGGTAAAATATCAACCAAAAACTGCAGAAAAAAAAACTTTTTTACCCGTAAAACCAAAATCTGCACTTTTGAAAAAAAAGAGAGATTATAAAAATTTCCCCATTTCTGAATGGTTCATCAAGGTTTAGGATGAAAATATGCGAAAAAAATAAAACAAAAAATTGAAAATTATTTTTGGTTTAAAAGATACAGTAAATCAGAAATGACCTGGATCCGGATCCATTTTTTTCAGTGCGGATCCAGGATCCTCAGCCGCATCAAAATTAAATGGATCCTAAGCACTGTTTGTGACATTTAGTCGTCAATCTACTTTCACATGTATGATTCTTCTCTTAGTCCTGGAATTTCACTTTTATTGAATAAAACCAAAATCTGTGGTATTTTCTGATTATTAACTCAAGAATTTTACTTCTATAATTAGGTTTACGAATTTAAATGCCGCATTTGTTTTCATAAATGAAAGCTCGACATTCGATTCGTTTTTGCTAGACTCATGTTTTGTGGGACATCCTTAANCCCCCCCCTCCCCGGACATTAACATCACTGTTAAAGAAGAAGAGAGTCGTGTCGAAGTAATGTATATCAGAGAGAAAGAGAGTCACGGTTTGAAATATGTGGAAAAGATATATTTCATTATCATACGCTGTAACATCTATTCTTAAAAGTTTTAATAAAAAACTTAAACTTTTAGTTTTAGTCGATACAACTCTTTTCCTGTTCAGCGACCGTAAGGGCGAAAATGAACATAAGCCTAAGACGACATCTATTAATTTCTTCTTTATATTCTTGGTATATCAATATCCACAATTTTTGTGTAACAAAAATATTCAACATTAGAGCGAGACCTACTAATTCTAAATGAATCAATCCTTATCTTTATATCGTGTCCAACAAAAGTTCACCAGGGATATAAATAATAGTAAAAAAAATATTAATGTCCTAAAAAGTAGTCAGCCTGGGCAGGGGCAATTCTAACAAATAAATAACCCTGTAGTTTACACCAATGAAATCTAAGCGTTAATAATCTACTGCCTGTAGTGTAATGTATAGCCTAAATATTACCATTACGTGTATACAGAGATAAGCGGAAAAATGGGATGGGAAGGAGACGTGCCAATTTAATACTGTTACAGAGCAAATTGCGTTCCTTTCCTTACCAGTAATTTAGTGAAATGGGTCTGTTTACACTAAACAATTAATGGATCTTGTGCAGGGGCGTAGTAATACTTAAAATTCGTGATTATCGCTGCAAACAATAATTTTTGTAACCAACCGGGTATTTATTTTACAGTAGTCACAAAACATTTTATTCTCCAGATCCTATCGACCCCTCATTTTCCCCTACCTACCTAATACTAGTAAGTTCACTGGGATTATCAACCTTAGATCAACTATCCATAATCGATTTTTTGTTAAAATTTATCTGTGTTACATTGTTTAAGTTGATTCAGTAAAATGATCTGCACGAAGCGCAAAAATATTGTTTATAATTTTTTTCTTTTGGTAATCATGGACATGAAGAATGGAGATCAAGTTCCTATCAGGCGATGATGGGGCCCTAAAGGTTATATAGCGCAAATATGTGAAGTACATCTGCAGTATGGAAAAAGTACAACAAATTGGCCGTTTTACACTTTTTTCTAGTAAATTCCTCTCTAATATATATTCTATTCTCTTTGGTCACGAGGCTTATTTAAAAAAGTCAAGTTTAAAAAATTGATCGTTTTACTTTAAAAACAACTAATTTACCAAAACAAAAATATATTTTTTATTTTCCCCAAAATAAGAAATATTGATGATTTCAACAGTACCTGGAATCATTCCTTGCCCGAGTCTAAAACTCATATTTGATCGATCTATAACAGACAAAAAAATAGTAATAACAAAGAAATTGAAGTTTCAGTTAAATATTTTTTTAAACATTCTATCGTTAAAAACCAAAATCATATTTTATTTAAACTAAGTTAGAATTTTTTACTTTGACTTTCAATATACGTGTAGATACTTACAATTTCTGCGTAAAAAATTTTTGCACAAACTTTTAAATTTTTTATCTAGTAAAATAAGGAGAAAAGCTTTTTCAAAGGATATAATGTTCAGCTTTAGAAAATCCGCAAATTAGACAACTTTATTAGGACTCACATGTAAAACTCCCAAAAAAAGCGTTACAAAAGAACAGTTTTTCTAAATTATATCACATAATAGAGCTGAGGTTTATTTTTGCAAGGTAAAATAAAATCATTTGCATCCTTGACAACATTATCTTTAAGTCTCTTCTTTATGTAAAAATTATTCGTAAAATCCAAATTAAAAATGCAAGAAGTTGCTGAACTAGTAGACAAAGTTCAACCACTTCTATGGCCTTGCTTCAAGTTTTAGAAGAGGTTTAACTAATTCTACGTTCAGCATCTTTAGTGATATGTGTGTACAATGTGTACCAATAAACATGGGAATTGAAAGATTGAAAGTAAAAAAAAAAATATTTAAATCTGAAAATCAGGAATTTTGTTTTGATATCTGATATTTTATGCATAACAAATAAAGTATAAAATGAGGCTGTACGTCTTACAAGCTTTACATAAAGTTGTCTACCTTTCTTATGTATTTAAAATTGACAAAGATAGTATTAAGACAATTTTAATTTATTGGATGATTGAAATTTGCACAAATTTTGTAATATCTCCATCAGTTTTGAAGTTAAAAAAAATAGTAGACCACATTTAGAAAATCTCAAGATCAGATGTTTTAACTATTTTATGTTTATACGGGAATACTCATGAAAACATGCCGCATGGATCGAAGACGAATAAAAGCCGTCATTTTATTCCCATGTTTATTGGTACACCCTTTACCTGGAGTGTTTGATGAGGATACTGATGATGATACAGCAGCTAGAACCCGTTTGCATGATGTCTTCTCTCCTGAAGTCGACTCCTGATCCTGTAACAATTGGGTGTCCAACGAAACATGACAATAGCAAGATGAATTAAAAGCGTGTTTGAACTTACAATTTATTTGAGACATTCAGCCGTCAACCTATTTTCTCATCTTTGATTCATGGCATTTCCAAAATGTGGTCAGCCATTTTTGTGCTGTAAATATTACCTGAGATATTGAGAATTTCGTTCAGATTTAATTTTATTAAATAAAACCAAAATTGTCTTCAAATGCCAAAACTAGGGGGATTTAGTAATTATTAGCTAGATAAATTCACTTCTAAGATTAGGTTTTCGAATAAATGTCGCAAATTATTTCAAGGATCAAAGACGATCTTCAATTCGTCTTGCTATTGTCTTGTTTCGTGGGGCACCCTGTATAAAAAATAAGATCTATAAGAGAACCCGACAAGGAACCCCTAGACCAAGATCAGTGCATTCTAATATAATTATCATTTCCTCCCCTACTGCATCCAAATATTTTTTTGCAGTTAATAAGTTAATACAAAATTTGTACGGCTTACTTTTCAAATAATTTTAATGTACGCAGTGCTTTCGATCCGTAACATTTTAAAATACTATATTTTTTGTGAGAAAATGCAATATTTTGAACAACTGTTTTAGCAGAAAACTCAAAAAAATGGAAGATAGTTTGCAGGTTGCAATCCTTAATTTTGGGATCTTTTTCTCATTCATTTTATGCTTGTTAGACTTCTACATAATTTTAGACTTTGTGTTTTTTTTTTTTTTTTTTTTTGTTCCTGACCTCACTGTGGTTTGATCCAATGCTTCTAGTTTCATCTATTTTAAGACTAACAGAACTACTTCCACTGCTTCCTGAAGTACCTGACACCGGGTTTATATTCATTTTAGAAAAATCATTATCCCCTCCTAGAAATCCATTTGATCGAGATCTGGGGTCCGTCCTAGAAAACACTTTTTGGACCTCCTTCCGCCCCGTCCCCATCCCCCTCCTATCAATTTGTTCCTGACCACTAATTTTCAGCAAAATTATTTGTTTTATATTATTTTAGGTTTAGGCTGGGTTAAGACNTTGAATTTCTTTACTTAGTTTTTATTTTTTATATGTAAAAAACTAAAAAAATAGCTTAAGATTTGCAAAACGGAACAGGGCAGATATCGTTAAATAATTGAATAAATAATTGTTTGCTAGGAAATCATCTGAGATCTGGACGGGAATTGCCAAAAGTTTAAAGAATTTTACTTGAACTTGGAGGCAAAGCCCCAGAAAGAGAAACTGTGACATTGTTACATTTATCACCAGGCCGAAAAAAGGTTTTTTTTTTTCAAAAATATGTTCCTTTGATTCTTTAAAAGTTTTGAACCCCCTTCCTATCAACTTTATATATGACAAACTTATTATTTTTTATTTCTCTAAAATTGTTCTCACGGAACAAAGGTTATTTTTACCTCTTTTCCTTCTAAAAGGGTTCACATACATTCTCAGTCAACTATTATCCGATGAAATAACTCTTTAGTTAATCTGAAACTTAGGATTCATTTCAAAGACCAACAGATCGGTTCTGTTCTAAAGAACGATTTTTGGACCCCCCCCCCCTCCTATCAATAGTGGGTGTCCAAAAATCGTCCTCTCTAGAAACTTACCAACACTTCTCTATTTCTATTTCAAATTATGCACGAGATAAATCAATAATTAACAACGCACATTTGACTGCATAATACAAAAGTTCAGTTGCTTAATTGTTTTTAATAATAATTTCAACAATGAAAAAAAGTTTATGATTTAATATTTAAAAAGACAAAATTCCAACGGGTGTTAAATATGCATATAATGAGTTCAGTTTTAAGCTTTAAATATTCCTAAAATACGGATGTAAGCATTTTTTATTGGTACAAATTCCACGCGGACTCCCAACAGACAATACACATTACACAAGTAAGGTAAACAACAGTAAATAACTGAGATGTTCAGCTGACTCTGAAAGTAAATTCTGTCTGTGAAACGATGAAAAGTACAAGTGTACGCAACCCAAAATTTGTATTGTAAGAAGTAAGAACGTACATATAACTAACTTTCCGGCCCCGTTGTATTTATTTTTGAAATGGGTGAAATAAGAAACGTTTTGAACCTTAAAAATTAGAAATTAGAATGTTCAGAATTCCATTAATTCTATTAAATTCTTTTTTTATATGGAAAAGTGTCTCACATAAAAACCGGTTACTAGTAGAATCTGTACTCTGTGTACTCTGTGACCTATTCGTTCTTTACCAAATTACCACCATTCAGTGAATGAAAGTTAATTTTCGAAATTCATTTTTTCTTGTCTACTGCCACTGATTGTCTACCTGCAATAACACATTATTTAATCTTGATATTTATGATTTATGTGATGTTAGGACCATAGGGCTATACTGCATGATTGCAGCCATTTCTTTAACTTTTACGTAAATCCATTCGGTAATTTCCTAAGATACGATTTTTTATACGTAAGACAGGGATATAATTGACCATGTGGCCCCCTAGCCTGTCCTAACCGCGGCGCTCGGCGCCCTAGCCTGTCCTAACTGAGCGCTCGGCCCCCTAGCCTGTCCTAGTCGTAGCGCTCGGCCCAGAAAGTGTCTTAACCTAACCTAACCCTAAATATATAATAATTTTGTTGAAAATTGTTGAAAAAGTGGTCATGTACAAAATTGATGATGCTATGGAAACGCCTTAACACGGAAACGTCTCAACACAGAAAAGGACCCAAAAAGTGAGTTTGGTTTCGTTTCCTTCTTTTTTTTCAAGAATTATCGGAAATCCCTGAAAAACTGATGAGTGTTGAGGAATTTCCGAATATTTTGCACGGTTTCCGCTATATTTTCATTTGATTCGTTTCCTGTTTTTTGGACCCGTTTCCTCTTTTTTGGGTTATAGTTTCCGGTTTTCAAAAAAAGTTTTAAATTCTCAGTGTGTTGATCGGTTTCCTCTTTTTTTCGGTCTGTTTTCTCTTTTTTTGGGTCCGTTTTCTCTTATTTTGGGTCCGTATCCGGTTTTCAAAAAAACTTTTAATTAATAATTATAAATTTTTAAAAGGTCTTACCACCCTTACCTTATTAAAAATTATTCAAAAAGAATTATTCTATTTATATATACATAAATGATTTGATTTGAATTTCTTTACTTAGTTTTTATTTTTTATATGTAAAAAACTAAAAAAATAGCTTAAGATTTGCAAAACGGAACAGGGCAGATATCGTTAAATAATTGAAGAAATGAAATACAGTGATAACCAGACAACTCTGGAATAGGAAGTTGACTTTTAGACTCAAGTTAATAGTTCACACTACTGTAAATGGACCAATTAGGTTTCAAGTCAAAACACCTAAACTTTTTCTTTGGAATATATGCAGTCTACTAAATTATAATCTCAATTTTCAGGAAATGCCATCTATGGTGTATTGAGTAAATCCATTTTTAAGATATTGTAGAAATCAAGTGCATTTTCGAGCCTAAAAACAAATGTATTGTAGAAATCAAGTACATTTTCGAGTATTAAAAACAAATGTATTTTTATTTTCAAGACTTGATTTTGCTGATTCTGGTTTTTTGAACTGTTAATGGCAGGGTCTCCAAATTTTGTGAGTTGCTTAACAGTCTCAATACACGTTTTAGCAATCATTGAAAGCTATAAGTTACCTGTATGATTGTTTAAGCACTGCCTGAAGTGGAATTGTTAAAAATCACATCAAAAAGAGTTTTTCAGGCCTTATATAGTCAGTCAGGCAGTTGACTATGGACTTTAATTTTTTTAAATACAATATGTCTTTTGACTGTTAATGAAAGTTACAAAATTTGGGGACCCTGCCATTCATATTTCAAAAAATATTGTGAAAAAAACCCAGAAGAAGCATTTTAAAGTCTTAAAAAGAATATTTACAGTTGAGTATAGACCTACGTATGCTGTAAATGTACTTTATTTCTCAGATATTTTTAAAATGGATTTTCGGAAAATTCCCTAGGTGGCATTTTCTGAAAATTGAGATTATAATTCAGTTATAGTTTTCGATATCCAACAGGGGGGCGCCCCCCCCCCTGTAGGAACACAGGGAGGGGGGCTTGTGCCCTCCCCCCAGTTACGGCTCTGCTCGCTTTCATCCCCCATATATCGTTCTGTATGATTGTATCCACCTAGTCTCCTAATCCCCTAATTGTATCAGCCTGTATCCTCCTGTATAAAATATATCCTGAAGTATATGTTGTCTAGTCCAACGGTTGTAGTTGCTAAGTGCGCAGTAGTAGGAAAGAGGAAGGAGGGACGCGTAAAATTTGGCGGGGAAATATTACCCGCCAAATGTGAAGCAGACTCGGGGAAATACTTTTCTACCTTTCCTTATTTTTAACGACCCCCTCTCATTGCATCTATCCAGATACAAAGTTCCATTTCTTCCATTCGTACTCAGCAATTATTTTAGGTTTTATTCAATGAATTTATATTGTTTGAATTGCATTGCATTAGATTCATCCTAAATCAAATAAATATTTAAATCAAACAGGTGAATTACTGGATTGAAAGAAAACAGATGAACTTTATAAGAAAGAAAAACTCTGCCTGAAAAAAATGTTCAATATATTTTTAAAATTTGGATATCTTATATTCTTACTTCTTTAAAAAGTAATGCCAGGTCCCATATTCTTTTTTTAGAGTCTTACTCTTACTCTTATTGCTATTATTATTATTTTTATTATTATTACTATTATTATTTGATTATTGTTGATATTATTATTATTTTCAGATAAAGATAGTTCTTGGCAGGTTCTTGAAAAAAGTTTCTAGTAATTTCCTACAATAAAATTCCCACAGAAAGTTCCTGTTATCCATTTAAGATGGGTCAGGTCCATTATGATAGTCCCTGTCAGGTCCACAATGATTGTCCCTGTAAGGTCCCACAATGATGTACCCTGTCAGGTCCAACAATGATGGTCCCTGTCAGGTCTACAATGATGGTCCCTGTTATGTTCACAATGATGGTCCCTGTCAGGTCCACAATTATGGTCCTTGTCAGGTCCCACAAAGATGAAAGAATCCCTGGGGAGTGTTTAACGTGGGTTTGTTCATGAACCGCCCTCCACCACGTCAACTACAGTTGCGCGTAATCTGGCGCGCGCCGACTCTGGTCCAGTCCTGACCTGACTCCTGAATCCGTCCGGTCCGGCAGTGCTCGCCTGAACGTCAAAGGAGGAAGTGATGATGGATTTTACTTAAACATTTCCGACTGAATCCTGCTTTAATCGACTAATCCAGCCTAATTTAATCAATCTTTCAAAGATGGCGACTGATCGCCCTGATTTAGTTTCTGTGTTATTGCAGAGCAAGACTAAGGTATTATATCAGATATATTCCTTTCAAGGTTTATTCTTTAGATTGTGACGGATTACTGCTAATTATAGTCTTAATTACATAATGTCTGGGAATAAACATTTTTATCCAGCAATAAAAATGTCAAGAATGAATGAATATAATGGCCTGCAACCTGTTTTAAGATATAGATTGTTCAGAGTAATCATTAGGAAATAACATTTTTACAAAATCATTTTTAAGTTGGATAAAGTCATTGTAAGGATTTTTCTGGATTGATTGAATAATCGATCGATTGATTGATTGATCGATTGATTAAGATGGAGCTGCTAGAGCCCTGGGAGCTGCTTAACCCCCTGCAGATGCAGACGGAGATCGATATAAACATGAGGATTGCATTGGCGGAATGGATGATGGAGGTATTGCAAATTTTCTTGTAAATCTTTTGCTAAATATCTATAACCGAAGTTATGAATAACTCTATCTTACATTTAAACATTGCAAGCAGTGTTTTTTTAAAGAAAATTATAAGGCCAGGATTGATTTAAAAAAGATATTTTTTAAATATTTAAATAATTGTGTTCAAGGTTTGTTGTGACCTAAACCTGGAGCCTGAAGTATTCTGTCTGGCGGTCAGTTGCTTGGACAGGTAATTTCAACGCTTCCGACCTTAGCGAAATTTCCTAAAATACATTTTGCTTCAGGTTCCTGTGCAAAGTGAGTCTTAAAAGAACGCAGCTCCAGCTGTTAGGAGTATCATGCCTTTTAGTAGCATGGAAGGTATTAATCAAAAATATTACTAAAATAAAGAAAAAGATTTTTGATAAATTCATTTAAATTTTAGGTTCGAGGGGAGAGGGAAGTGAACATAGAATCTCTACTAAAACTAACTGAAGATTCAATATTCAAAGAGGAAATACTGGTAAGAAATCACGCAACCTCGAACATCAGAAAACCACGAAACCTCGAGTCATTAAAATCACGAAACTTCTTACTCCCGCATTTTCTGCGTGGGAAATCTCTGAAGTAATTCTGACTGTGCGCGCTGTTTAGCTAGGGTCAGGCTCGTGTACTGTATGAACTGACAATAGATAGACTGCGCGCACGCTCGGATAAATCTACGGATGGCAGATGAGTATTCAATATTAGTTTTTGCACAAGTGTTTAACTTTTTTAAAATTAGATATCTAAATCAATTATGTTATATAATAATACAATAATATATAAAGTAGTATAATTAATCTTTGTTTGTTTGCCCGATCATTTGATTGGATTTTTTGCCTCAACTTTGTATTGGGTAACATGTTAGAATTACGCACGGGTTGACTTTAAGAGAAAACATAGTTTCCAGGCTAAGCTGGGTTCCCAATCTAGTCATCTTTATATTAGATTGATATTTTTCTATTAGACTTAATACAATCAAAATAAACAATTTATATATCTTTAATTACAAATTTTGTGTACCTCACTTACTCTCACTCTTTTTTGTAACCCTAGACATGTACATTTATGACTCAAAAACGCTTCTTTAGTTTTTTAAAAAGTAATTGGCTAAATGGATAAATTTTGCATAAGAACTTGAAACATTTTAATCACCATGAGCCCCACCCCCTTAAAAAAAAATAATTAAAATATGTTCTAGTAAATTGATTGTATTTGTAGGAATGTGAGATGTTAGTACTTACCAAACTTAACTGGAACCTTCCCTCCTTGGTAGCAGTAGATTTCTTACCCCAGATACTCCAGGTAACCTTCCCTCCATGGTAGCAGTAGATTTCTTACCCCAGATACTCCAGGTAACCTTCCCTCCTTGGTAGCAGTAGATTTCTTACCCCAGATACTCCAGGTTCTCTTCCTTAGTAGCAGTAGATTTCTTACCTCAAATACTGCAGGTAACCTTCTCTCCTTAGTAGCAGTAAATTTCTTACCCCTGGTCAAATATGTGATTAAATTTCTTAATTGTCAGCGTAGGTGTTTATTCTCTTGTCACTATATTTTTCATAAAAAAGGGACGACTGTAGTTAAAGGGACTGTAAGCGTAATTTTAAGCGACCTTTATGCAAAGATGCCAATGCCAGATTTTCAACGATACCCGTGAAACCTTAATCTGATCAAAAATGTGGAAGATAACGTCGTTTTTCTGACTTGAAAAGTGATAATATCTCTGAGTTTCATACATTACATCTTGTACTTTATAAAAAAAGGCATGTTCGATTCTCAATTGTACCATTTAATCCTCTATCTGAAAGATATCGTCGTTTTTATCTTTCTTATCTTAAAAGGTGATGTGTTTGTAATTTTCTTTCATTGTCTCTGTTGCAAAGATCAGCAAGTCACTTATAATTATATAGAAAACCATCAATTAAAAAAGATTAATTTTCCTAGAAAAAATAAGGATATCTCATTCATCCCCTCTGTAAAAGGAGTGTCAATTGAAATTACGTCTTGAGTCCCTTTAAGCTTTATACAAAGATTAGTTATTATATTATTATGTCATTAATTAAAGAGTTAAAACTTAAACCTTTTTTAATTTTTAGAAAGTTGATTCAAAGCTTTCACATCAACATTTGAAAGACAGCGCTGTCAGTTTGATTCAGAACTGTTACATCCATCCTAGCTTAGCTGTCAGACCACCTCAGCTAATGTCGGCCGCCGCTGTTGTATCAATCATAAGGTATTTTTAAAAATAACTAATATAAGTTGAAACTTAAAAAACGTTTTTACTTAAAATTTAATAGTAGATGGTTAAGTTAATACTAAATACTAAATACTAAATACTAAATACATATTATTATGCTTTCTAGCTATTTTTTTCTAATATTTTCAACGCTTTTATATTAAAGTTTTAAATGTTTTTTTACCTTATGATTTTGTCAATTAGACTGCATGATTCTTTAAAGTTTCAACGTTTTGCTAGGTATTTATTGTTATTTTTTTCAGGCCAACCATAGCAAAATCTGATATGGCTGCTGATACCCCTCCTTCATCAACCTCATCTTCTCAATCCACCTCCCATAGTTCATCTTTACCTCCATCCTCCTATATGTCCTCTTCACCTCCATCCTCCACCTCACCTACATCCTCGCCACCCTCCTCGTCATATCTATCCTCATCCCCGTGTTCATCCTCATTCGACTCCTCCTCCCCCTCCTCATTTATTGAAGCCTTGAAGAGTCCTTATATTACTACATCATCCGACCTACCCCCATACATGACCGAGAATCCATCATTATCCGACCTATCCACATCCATGATAGAGAATCCATTATCATCTGACCTACCCAGTTACATTTCTGAGAAACTATCATCATCCGAACTATCCTCGTATATGCCCAAGAACACCCCAACCTTCGGCACTACATACTCCAAACCTACCAACTTAAACTCGGTCTTACTTATTCAAAGGTACATATTGAAAATAAAGACAATCAAATAGATAAATAGACGGGACAGATATAAATAGACAAATAGATGGATAGACGGGACAGATATAAATAGACAAATAGATGGATAGACGGGACAGATAAAAATAGAATAATAGATGGATAGACGGGACAGATATAAATAAACAAATAGATGGATAGACGGGAAAGATATAAATAGAATAATAGATGGATAGACGGGAAATGTATAAAATAAAAAATAGATGGATAGACGGGAAAGATATAAATAGACAAATAGATGGAAAGACGGGAAAGGAACAGATAGACAAATAGATGGAAAGAAGGGAAAAATATAGATTGTCAAATAGATGGATAGACGGGAAAGAAATATAAAGACAAATTCATGGATAGACGGGAAAGGAATATAAATTTAAATAGATGGACGGGAAAAATATAGATAGTCAAATAGATGGATAGACGGGAAAGGGATAGAAAAACAAATAGAAAGGATTATGTAGACAAATATGTGGATAGCTAGGAAAGTAATAGATAGACTTAAATAGATGGATAGATTGATAGATGGATAGACAGATAGACTGGAAAAAGGATTGGATGATAGACGGACGTTTATGAACAAAATGTTTTGTTTTTAGTTCAACGAAGAGTCAAGATATTCCAGTTAGAGGAGAAGGAAAACATTTTATAAGATTTATAGGACACTTGCCGAATCCAAGATACATTTTTATTCTTTTACAGTGGAATCCTGACAGCTAGGTTCGATTGCCACTAAAATATCAAATATATTTTTTATTTTTTACTTGGTGTACCCAACCCGACTTTTGATTGTGAACAAGTTGTTCAAGCCAGGACGGAGAGATTTAGGAGATCATGTATACTTTATATCCGAAGAATGTGAATAAATATGTTTTTACCAATATGACAAATTTGATATGTAGATATATCTTATTTTTTATATATGAATGTTAATTCTCGGAATTTTATCATAATAAACTCTATTTATTAATCTATATATTTAAAACAAACTTTTTTTGAATTACAAGTTTATAAGTTTGATATTAATCAAAGTTTAAATCGAAAGTAGTCTACCACTTTATCTCATTTTTCAAGGAGCGGAGACAACTTTTTAACAATTGTTTTTGTAACGAAATTTTTTTTCTTCTTTTGGTCACTCCAATAATTTCATTGCTTTCGATTTAAGACTTTAAAATTCCCTTTAAATTTTTAATTGAGATACAAAATTTATTAATTTTTGTTTAGGAGCATTCAGAGGGTCACTTTGTCTGATAAGACAAGTCTTCAGGGTCTGATTGAGGATATTCAGAACTTAGTAATTCTGCCGCTAGAGTCCAGAAATATACTCAACCTTACGCCGAGCCCAGAGTCTAGAAAATGTACGACCCCTGGGAAGAATAATGGCTCTGATTCGACTTATTTGTTAAAGGCTAGAAACCTTTTCCCCGATGTTTCGACACCGACTAAAGTTTTAGACGCCTCACAGTTTTCTAACTCCTAAGACTTGATTTAAATACGGTCGTTGATAAAAAAAAAATGATTCAAGTCAAAAATTTGTTTAAAATTAGCCCTGTAAAGATTTAGAAGGCATTAAAGTATCTACTACCGACATTTTTATAGGTTTGTGGGTCACCCAACAAAAAAATCATTGTATTCGAATGTAGATTGAAGAAAAATATATGAATATGAAACTATTTTAATTACTCTTGCTTATAAAATTACAAAAAAAAATACTCTTCAAAATCATTGCTTTGATCTCAAGAACTTTTTATGTTAGATAATCACCCAATTTTGCAAAAAAAATATGAGGGGGGAGGTCCACGGCGTCTTTACTGAGATATTATTAAAGTTTTTACCTCTTAATGTAAAAATCAAATTCAAAGTACCAATTTAAATGTTCTAATGTACTTTTCTTCTGTCCTGTATGATATATATATATATATACAATGTACTGAATCTCGGCATTTTTAAATCCCTAAAAGCTTGATGTACGCAAAAAAAATTGTATACGACGTAAAGGAAATGTAAAACTTTTGTAATAATTCATTCAAACTAAATATCATTTGTATTTTGAATGTAGACGCAAATCCATTTTCTGAAATTCTGTTCTTCTATTTTTTGTATATTATTAGTACTTTGAAATAAAAAACTTCAAAATTAAAGGGGAAAGACAGAAAACTATGGTGGTAGGCGATTATTTCAATACAATGAAGGCTACTTTCGATTTCAATTTTGATTAAAATCTGGCTGTTAAACAGCCATGGATAGTGGATACACATAAACATAGAAGTCAAGAGAATTTATCAATATAAAACCTTCTCTTTGAATACTTGTAAACTTGTAACTCGTAAAAAAGCTTTATTTAAAACAAAACTCAAATAAACAAGTCGTCTTCGTTGTATTGATATAATCGCCTACCACTGTACCTCCTGGGAAACTTTACACTGTAAACTTTAAAAAAAAGGCCGATCAAACTTTTTCATACTTAGGACTAACCATAGATTGATGAACAATACAGAAAAAAAAACACTAGATGTCGTCTTTACAAGATTTAAGGATTTTCGCTTACAAAAACCCTGAGGCAGAAGCCTAAGGAGTTCCGCGCAGGCAGCGTGAATTACCAGACAGAGAGAGAGCATGCATGTAACTCCTTTGGGCCTCTGCTTCAGGGTTATTGTAAACGAAAAACCCCTAAATATTTAAAAGAAGACATCAAGTATTCTATCTGTATTGTTAATTAATCTATGATACTAACATTCATCCATTTTACTTTGTTTTAAATTCGACATTTTAAGGATTGTCCATAAAACTTTGGAATGTGATCGACAGGATTTAGCAATCTTATGTTTATTTGCACGTTATTAAAATCCAAACAAGTGAATTGAAAACCAACCTAATAGCTTAAAAAGGCAAGTGTAGTGTGTAAATTGCGTTGTCCATATAACTACTTGTGCCCATTAGTTCATACGTAAATCATGTATTGCGATTAACCCAGTTAAATTATGTAGATACATAACTCGGTCATACCCATATTGTGTTTGCTTAACTACTATATATATAAATAACATCGCATAACTGCAAGCACGCTGTTAAGACCCAATTATAATCTAAACAGAAGAAATATAGTTAGTTGCATTAGAGACTCCGATTTGATTACTGCCGAGAGAGTAATCATGTTCTGGTTGAAGAATATGAGCAGAGATTGTGCCTATAGGTTTGGGGCTGATAGAGTTTGAGCTAGTGTCCGATTGACATCAATAGTCTCATGAGATTGTGTCCACAGTATTGGCATTGATCAATTAATTGCTAGAGTTCGTGTTGACATTGATAACTAATGAGATTTTGCCCAGTGGTAGTGGCGTTGATAGTTCACGGGATTGTAGCCATGTGTTGACATTGATAGTCAAGAGAATCTGAGTTGTACCTGGATAGATACTTGTTCGAGAAACTGCTATGGAGTAAGGCATTTACTACATATATACTGAAAACTGTGTAAATTTTGTTTCATGTTCATTTGGCAATTTAAAATCTTAACTTGAGTCCAACAGTCGTCAAAGAAGCAAAATAGGTAACCATTCAAATCCCATAACCATACAAGATCTCCAATCGGCAATACCCAAAAAAATGTTCAATTAATGGGTTCGAAAGTAAGGTACATTTTATCCCAGAACTTTCAAAAGAATTAATAAAATGTCGTTTTCTAACCTACTAATAATGGAATACTGCAGATATTTAGTTTTTAAATGAATAATTAAATGGAGCTCTTTAAAAATGTTCCCGCATATTTCATGACTATTTATTTATTTTTACAATTACTGAGATTCAGGTATAATAGTATGAAACCCATTGAAAAACTGTCAAGACGACATGTTATAAATTCTTTCGATGGCTCCGAATATTTGGGTTAGACTGTGGTAAAGTCACATTGGTAATTTAAAACACCACAACATAACCCCCAGTATTAACAGCCTCTCCCCCCTCCTTGTACACTAATCTTTGATTTTATTAGTTGAAGGATTTACCTCCTAGTACCCACCCACCTTTACCTCCTAGTACCCACCCACCTACTACCTTCAAACAATAATGCTTAACTTTTGCTAAAATATTTATGCTTCACATAGAAATTAATAAAAATTAAAGTGTTGACGAAAATATGAATTTTCCTAAATTTGTTTAAAATGTTGTTTTTGCTGTTAATATTCAGCCCTGTTCTTTATATTTACCGCTGCCCCACCCCCTACAAATAGGTTGACGTGTGCACGCCACTTTTTACGCGCTTTTTTGCAATAATTTAGCAAATGGGTCGGTTCAGGAGTCTAAATGGTTTGTTTACCCCGCTGGTTTACATATTTTGCCAGATTTATGCCAATTTAATGCTTTGAAACTATACTTACCTGCAGGCAGGGGGGGGGGGTCAGGGAATAGGCTTTAACCCCTGGATTAAATATGCAAAACCAATCACAGGGGTTTTTGTGTTTTAAACTCAGATTTACTGACATTTGCAAATAAAAGTTGTACCTGCCTAGTGTGTTCTTCTAAATTTGACCTTAATAGTATTTGCAATTTTTCTTAATACGGTTTTTAGGTGGATGATCAACGACCTCTAGAGGGGTGAACCAAAGATTCACCAAACGTTGACCCCCTAGGCTGAAAAGTGACACTGTCCATTTTTATTTTTATTATTTAACGTCACGTCACCATATTCAAAGATGAACATGGGGCATACTGGAGGTTAAGCCCTAGCGGTCGTTGATCACTCCCATAAAAAACCGTACCAAGAAAATGTTTGGTCAAATTGAAAGAATTTGAGAAATTATCATAAAATGGACAAATTTTCAATTGATAAGAAATGAATAAAATATATGTAAATTTAATATATTAGGCCCAAGGCACAGGGGGGCAAGACTAGGGGGTAACTCTGGGTTCCAGCCCCCCCCCCAGTGCGCCCCTGAAGATGAAACATTTATCCACTAAAAAATTAGTTGTTACATTAACTATCTTTATTTAAATTCAAGCATAATTGCGAAAACATTTTATGTTTATTTCAGCAGCACAAAGCACACATTTTTTAATTGTTCTTTTCTTCGCATCTTCTTATCTTTATATAATCTTTGTCTTCATCCTCTTCTTCTCTTCCTAATAAAACTAAAATATGTGATTGAAAATAAAAAGTTTAACTCTAAAAATTGTTGCATTTGTTAAAAGAAGACTTACTTTCATTAAAATGTAACAAAGATTTAAACTACCGATAAGACCTCAAAGCAGAAACCTTTGGAATTAGTTTTCAAATTAATAATTAAATAATTCTAAATCATGGATTTGACATCATTAAAGAGACGGTGAACGTGATTTAAAGTGAAACTTTAGTGAAAATACATTCTACAGATCAGTATTTGTACCTGGATTCAGACCAGGATTTGTACCTGGATTCTCCAGACCAGGATATGTACCTGGATTCTCCAGACCAGGATTTGTACCTGGATTCTCCAGACCAGGATTTGTACCTGGATTCTCCAGACCAGGATTTGTACCTGGAATCTCCAGTCCAGTATTTGTACTTGAACTCTCCAGACTAGGATATGTACCTGGATTCTCCAGACCAGGATTTGTACCTGGATTCTCCAGACCAGTATTTGTACCTGGATTCTCTAGACCAGGGTTTGTACCTGGATTCTTCCTGGATTCTCTTCAGCAATATTTGTACCTGGATTCTATCTGTATTTGTACCTGGATCCTTCCTGGATTCTCTAGACCAGAATTTGTACCTGTATTCTCCAAAGCTTGATGAGGAGAGAATCAAGTTTCCTCTGAAGAGGAAGGGCACACATTTCAAGGCTGGTCATCTTTCTCTCCAGGTTCTCAAATCTGGGTTCAAATAATGTTTAATCATGGTTCACAACATTTTCAGACTTTGCTTGAGGCTCAACGTAAGGAAAATGGGAAAAAGGCAAAAAAAATTTGAATTAGAAAGGGGGTTAAGTATCAACCTTATAATGGAAGTTAAATAATTCAAAATTGGAACCAATATGTCCCAAGGTGAGTCCAAAACGACTCAGAACCAACATTTATTGCTAAATCTCATTATCGGTGTTTGCAAATAAATAAATTTTATGCTTGGTATTTTTTTTTTTACCTTGATCTGACATTTTCTGCAGCTCTTTCGTTTCTGTATTCAGGTAAAAATAAAAAAATTTTAAAATAGTTTTTAAAACTTCATAAATTCAACTTACCCTTTTACTACTGATTCAAGATTGTGATCTAAATAAATCTTTATTATTATTATTTTTCAGATTTGTTGTTTACTGGTTTTATTTTTATTAAAATTATAATTTTAATTTCAATTATCAGCCCATGCGATAGATTAAAAATGATAAATTTGTGTCCACAAAATCTTGACTTTTTAATGATAATTTTTTAGCCAAAACATTTATTAGAATTTGATATTTCAATTTTTTTTAAATATCATAAACAATACACAGTTTAAAATTATCTAACATTTTTGCCATTTCTCAAGATAAAGAAGGTATTGATTGGTGAATTGTGGAAACAGTAAATTTGGAAATTATTTATTGACGTTCTAAACCCATGAGCCATCACGTATTAGATTTTACGTTACACACATTTTTGCAATATTTAGCTTAATGAAAACGTTATCTAAATGCACAAAATTCAAATAGTTTAAAGGGACTGTAAGCGTAGTTTAAAGTGTTCTTCTATTACATGCATTTCTGTAGATACATCAGGTAAAGTCTGTAATCTTTGATCAATCAAAATAGGAATGCCCCTTTCAGAATAGAAGATTCTTGAAATTATGCCTACTGTCCCTTTAATCCTAATCACCAGGTTTAGAGGAATCCTCTTCATCTAGGTCCTCAGTGCATAGTATTTTTTTCACCTCTGGGTCTTTGCTTGAAATAGAAAAAAAAAATTTGTTATATTTTTCATCCAAAATTTAAACAATTTTACATAAAAATGAATTTTTAGACCTACATAAAATAAGAGAGGATCTGAATTCTTGACACAACCCCCTAATCTTCTAATCCCTAAATCTTTACAACCCAATGCCGTCAGCTCAAATAATCTAAGTTTGAAATCGGGTTGCAAAGATATATTTATCAGAAACTTAAGATTGTGGCAAAGATTGCCTTACTTACCTAAGATTTAAAAAGATAAGATCAATCTCCATGTCCCCAAAGTTGCTTTGCTTCAGCATCTCTCTGAAATATATTTTTTTCAATAAATGTTTATCATAGTATTTTCGGGCATTCTCCCTTTAAATGAAAGGTCCCTTGAAATTACTTCTATGTTCCCTTTCACCCTATTTAGGCTGAAGTCTGGTTTACCCAAAATAGAAGGGGGGGGGGGTCCCGGGGACCCCCCCCTCTATTTCCTTATTGTGATACAAATCTATAACATTTGATAAACTTTTGGAAAGCCCTTAATAATCTGCCAAAAAATGTGCAAATTTGAAAAATTTTAAATGATTATTGCAATTGGAAATTTTTAAGCAAAAAATGTGCAAAAAAAGTGCGCGAAATAGGTTAAAACATACAGTTTTGAAAAGCCCTTACCACTGCGAATTTAAATATGCAAAAATATTTGCAAAATTTTCAAAAAACTAAATTTTTATTCAAGGAAAACTGAAAATATTAAAATTCTCTGTAAAGGCATCTGTGCAAAAAACTATGCTCGATTTCTGAATTGTGTAAACTGTTTCCTTTTGCTCAATTGGCTTTCCAAAGAGCTATAAAAAGTCTAAATCCAATGACTGGAAGTAGGTCTAATATATATTTAGTCGGGTAAAGGGAAAGAAAGGCAGTATGCCTGAGGACTCGGGCAGTAGGTATAAAAGCCCCGCTTTGAGCCTAAAGTGAGGGGCATGTGTTAGTTAGAAAAGTAAAAAATTTGAACAGCCTCAGACCTATGCTTTTTAAGTTATCCCCAAAAAACGTCAAGGGGGGGGGTTCCAGAAACCCCCCCATTCCATTTTTCGATTGTACGGTGTGAGTGCTATAATCGAACTGAAAAAGAGAGTGGAAATAGAATAAAAAACCTTAATATGAAATAGGAAAATTGATCAAGCTTTTTCAACTTATCTTTTAAGAGAAAATTTTAATTAAAATTTTGATGTTTAACAAAATAAATTCATAAATAATTATATAATTTATACCTTAACTCCAAATATGTAACAAACCCATCATCTTCAGCTAAATATATTATTTCTTTTATAAATATCTTTCTATTGTAATAATATTTTTATTGAAATCTATCTAGAATCCAGTAGAATTGTGTCAGATATGATATTCATATTGAAATCTATCTAGAATCCATGGTAGATTTATGTCAGATATAGTATTCTTATTAAAATCTATGTAGAATCCAGTAGAATTGTGTCAGATATAATATTCTTATTGAAATCTATCTAGAATCCAGTAGAATTGTGTCAGATATGATATTTTTTTTTAAATCTATCTAAAATCCAGTAGAATTGTCAGATATATTTTTATTGAAATCTATCTAGAATTCAGTAGATTTGTGTCAGACATGATATTCTTCTTGAAATCTATCTAGAATCCAGTAGAATTGTGTCAGATATGATATTCTTATTGAAATCTTATAAAAATCAAATATCAGATTAGGAAAAATTTCAGAGAAATAAATTATAGAAAAAAAACTTCCTACCTGCCAATTTCACAGCATTTCGTACAAAATGGCTCCTATCTAACACCCCTACTATACCCTATATTATAAAAGAGTTATTTATATCATATACATACATATACATCATATACAATTACATATTTTCAAAGAACTAATACTAAAAATAATAATTTTCTATTCTCTATATATATCTTTTCAATCTGATGTTGTAGAGCTTTGATATTTCAAACTATGAATTCTGCTATAGATCAAATAGTGTAGAGCTTTGATATTTCAAACTATGAATTCTGCTATAGATCAAATAGCCTATTAGTTTGAAATATTAAAGGTTTACACCATTCAAGTTGTAAAGATATTAGGATTAGAAAATGTTTTGCCAGTGACGAGTAATCAACGCATTTGTTTTGAGAAAATCTGCAAAATATCTAAACTTATTTATTGGTTTCTATGGCAACAAAAAATATGTTTAAAGAACTGTTATATACGTTATTTCAAGTTTCAGTTCATGCAAGATTCATAACAATACCCTACAAACATTTATCGGAGTGCTTATAAGGAAGATATCATCGTTTTCTATCTGGAAAAGTGTTACGTTCTGACAATATTCTTTATTGTCTAAGTCTATCATGCATAAATCCGCAGGCCGCTTTTACATTGAAACTACATTTGAGGTCAATCAATTTTCTGATAGAAAAACTAAAATATCTCATTCTTTCATGATCTGACAAAGTTTGTAAGTGTACCGTTGTAAATCAGACATGCCACACGTGGAGGGTTGCACTTAAAATTCCTTTAATGTGAAAACCTGAATTTTGACGAGGCCGTTGTTTAAGAAGTCTCCCATCTCAAACTTAGGTTTCAGACTGAACAACTCTACTTTGAACTCTTTGTAAGAATCGTAGATGATTGCCAAGAACACGTTCATGAAGATAAAGAAGACAAAGATCAAGTAGGTCAGGAAAAATAAGACCCCAAAAGTCTGAAAAAAACAAAGATTAAAAATATTATTTCATTATTTAATAATTAATTTACCGAGTCAGCATTAATCAGCATATCATAGTTGAAATCACCCAGCGTTGTTCTAAAAACAATATTCAATTTGAAATCACACAAAATAAAAGATAAAGTCCTTAAAATGTCCGTAATATACGTAAAAAAAGCTAGAATTAATTCATTATGTAAACGTGATAAATTATACTAGAAGGACACAGGCAACATCTTGTTCAGATACGGAGAGATGTCTACTCCAGTACTTGATTTTTTATACTTTCTTTGCTTTTCGATAGAAATTATTTTACTGAGTAATCTGAAATACGCAGGTTCTGAGTTTCTGACACGAAAAAATATTAAGATCTTGCCAAAAAACTTCTTTGAAATTTAGACTATAAATATTTATGTTGATGGCTACAAAAAAGTAAATTTCGGTTCATTAGGTAAAACCAAGGGGGAAAATCTTGGCAAACCTGCACAGTCGGCCAAATCTGAAAAGTTGATTTATCTAGTTGTAACTTATAGGGTTTGCAGCGAACAAAACGTTTCGCGAAAAAATGCGAAGAAATTTCGCATTTTGTAAAAATATTTTAGCGAAAATTTTCGCTAAACCCATAGGTATTAAAGCTGTAGTCTTTTTTTTTTGATGAATTTTCGCAAAAAATTTTTCTTCTAAATTTCGAATTTTCTTTGCGAAATTTTGCATTTTGCGAAAATTTTAGCATGTTTCGTGAACGAACGAAATTCGAAAAGAGGCGAAAATGCGAAGTTTTCGCGAAACGATTTTCCTTTTCGCAGCAAACCCTACTTGTGACCTGAGAAGGGTAAAGCAGGCTTCCGTGAAATTTCTGTAATCTTTAGCCTAAAACATTCCAGGCATTACCTGTAATTATGTAATACACATATTCTAAGCTCTATGCAAGGTGACACAATGATATGATCAGTGTAGACAAAAACTTCTTTATGTGAAGATTGTTAACTCCACAGTAACCTAGAGGTTCTGGCTAAAGTCCAGCGAGTCTAAACTTTAGAACCCATTTTCACCCATTAATTAAGAATTTTTTAAAATATTTTTAACTTTACTAGGCTTTTAAGACGCTTCGCGCCCATCTTCTATTTCAATTGTGAACACCTCATCTTTGTAAATGTAAAACAAAAACAAACAAAATGTCGCGGATTTTATAAAAAAATTCGTCGATTTTAATTTTCAAAAAACGAATTTTGTTGGAGGGAAATGTTTTTAGATTTAATCATTCATAGACTATCCCTAGGGTCACGCGAGGTTCCACCAAAAATTTAGGCCTGATCGGTTCAGGCGTTTTGACGTTAATTGGATACAAACAAACAAACAAACAAACACCCAGTCGCCCAGACAAGCAGAGTATATATATATATATATATATATAATATTCAGATACAGACAGGATGTTCTACGGTGTATTTTTAGTGTTCTCCCACCTGTGTACCAAATAAGAGGTATCCTAGCTGAGCAAATGAGAAGAAAACAATACAAAACATGACTGAGAATCCAGACAAATTTTTAGAACTGTGTTTCAAAGTTCCAGAGAACTGTTGCATTGTCTAAAAATTGTCTAAAATTAGAACTATTAATTTTAAACTGGTCGAAAACAAAATCTTCGGTCAAAAATGTTGACATTTTCTTATTTTTAAAATCAACCAATTACGACGAAAAAATCCGCAAAAATTTTTTATTTTATTAATCGGAAAACGATGAAAAATTACGAATGGAAAAGAAATAGTTAAAAATTATAAGCTTATTTGATCAAAAACCAGTAAATGAATATATCCGATGATTTATGAACTCTATTGATCACCTTGTTGAAGGATAGATATTTTAGAAGCTTTAGCCAGGCCATAAACAAGCTTCCAGCACCAGAATATGTCATATACCTATACACCAATCTACACACAACATCAAACAATAATCAAACAACGCTTGATCTCGATATCTACAGTAAGAACTTTTAAATTCTATGGAACAGTGCTGGATCTCTTAATCTAAGTTGTTCAACACAGCCTATGGAATATTTCTAGAAATGGGCATAGTTTTTGTTAACAAACTAAATATTTCTGAACGAAATAAATTTTTTTTTTAAACGTTGTCATTGCATAGAAAAATTAACTATGGATGAAAAGTTATTATTTATTTTTGGAAATCTATCAACAAAACAGAACGTCTGCAAATTTTTTAGGTTTAAAACAGAATGTCTGGAATTTTTTTAGTTTTAAAATGTAAAAAATGGCTTGAAAAGCAAAATTTTAAAATGAATATTTTTATTGAAAGTGGAGAGAATTGCCCTCAAAAAGTATTTTTTCTTATGAATAACAGCCTCAAACGGTTTGATATTCCTTATATAAGACATATCCACATATTCCCACGGTCTTTCCAGTAATCCTAGCATTTCGTTCAACAGGGCTAAAACAATACAATTCATTCAACAGGGCTAAAACAATACAATTCATTTAATGGGGCTAAAACAAAATAATGCATTCAACGGGGCTAAAACAAAACAATGCATTGAACAGGGCTGAAACAATACAATTCATTCAACGGGGCTAAAACAAAATAATTAATTCAACAGGGCTAAAACAATACAATTTATTCAACGGGGCTAAAACAATACAATTTATTTAACGGGGCTAAAACAATACAATTTATTTAACGGGGCTAAAACAATGCAATTTATTCAACGGGGTTAAAAAATGAAAAATCAATATTGCAGCAGCTCTATGTAGCTCGTTTAATGCCAAAAAATAAGACCAGTAATTGGCAAGACAATTAAAGTGCCAACTTATTTTAAGGGATTACCAGCCTTTTGATGGCATAGGAAATTGCAATCATTTGGCAAAAATAAAAAGGGTTCAAGAAATAAAATCTGAAGGGTTATTCATTGATTTGAGGCTGCCTAGTTTGTTAAATTTTATCAGAAAACGAATATTTTTCAGAGCATTAAAGAATTTAGAAAGTAGCAAACTGACCTGTAAGTAGGAAAATATTTAAGACAATATATATTAGAGAAAGCACTGTAACTCCAATATCCAAAATGTTTCCAACGTTCACAAAGTATTTCAAACCAGAAACTCTAAAATCAGATATTTCAGATAAGCAAACTAAATCTATACTTAAAGGGAATCAGGACGTAAGTTCAAGTGAGGCTCCATTTGTAGATTTGCATGTGAAATACACAACAGTACTCTTTGACATTTTATCAAAATAAATAAGAAATCTAAATAAAAAAATTATATTCTCATTTCAGCTTTTTCGATAGATTGCGGATTTAATCTACACAGAAAATGAGGGAACACGTTAGAATTCAAAACGAATTTAGAAACGACGCTATCATCCTCATCATCCTCATTGTTGATTATATTGTGAATCGAACCTGCCACGCTTTGAATGGAGGGGAGGGTTACTTGAATTAACATCTTCCGTCTGTTTAAAGAATTGAATACCTGAAGTCTTGTATTTCCTCCCAAATATAATAAATGGTAAACAAACAAAATAGAATTTCGACTCCCATTCGTACAAAATCCAAAGTGGAGGTATAATGGAGAGGACTCATAACCTTTATTATACACTTTAGAGAAAACATTAATATCTTTTAATTCATAGTATTTGAAGAAATCGGAGCAAAATAACATGAATATAGATAAATTTAATATAATTAATTAAAATTGAAAAATAATTTATAGCAGAGTAGTCCACTGAAGATAAAACTTAAATGACGACCTATAGCTCATAAAATATAAAGATCTGAAGTTACCATTGGTTCATAAATCTGGCCTTTTAATCATCTACTTAATGATTAAAACCACAGGACAAAGTCAGCAAAAGTTCGGTAGGTCGTCTCAGAATCTTTTTTTGTTGATGGTAAACTAGCATTTAATTTGAAGGTATTTTAATAGAAAATTACCTCTATATCAATTCCTCCCATGACCCCACCTTGTAGGAAAATTTTGGTGAAAAAGTAATCTTATAATTCAATTATGAAGCGATCTGAGGTGTGTTTTGATTTGATGCTATTAAGTACTTAATCCGTAAAATGGAATTATCCTAATCCATTGGCGTCGGACTAACACAGATAGGGATCAGTGCTTTCCGAAGGGATTGAATTCATTTTCAAAAGTTCTAAAATCTAAGCTATTTGCAATTAAACTGACTGATCCACCACTTGACAAAAGCATAAGATAGATATAAAAGTAGAACCAATCGAATCACAATTTGATCCTTTTATAATTGATTGAGAACCCTTGTAAAAATAAGATGACAAATAATGCATATAGAATATAGATTGAAAGACAAATTAATAAAAAAATTGTATATTTAACACTTTTTTTACCTGTTGCAGGGAATTCACATGCTATAGTAATAAACGAGAACAGATTTACATTTGCATTGTAAGTAGAAAATTCTGGATTAAAAAGTATCGTTTTTTTAATGTTTTTGTTTTTGTTAAAATTAAATATTTTTTTTAAACTGACCTATGGTGACCAGACGTGTTCCTTGGTTAATCCATCGAAAGGATTTCAACTCTTTGATGATGTAAATGTTGATACTTTTGTTAAAGCTCAAATTTTGGGAATATCCCCCTTGTCCATATGTAGTTAGCTTAACATAATTCAAAACAAGATTAATTTAAAAAGGAAAATAATTTATTATATTGCCAAACTGTATAAAAAAATCAATTACCTGCTTTAATTCTTTTTTTTAAATCCCTTTATCTTTTCAACCTGAGGGTAAAACTTTTGCCTGCAGGTATGTTGCCGAACCAAATTTGATAAATACGAGATGTAGTTGAACTACGTAGAGTAAGTTGAACCACTTCTTTGAAGATATTCTTAATCCAACTCGTCTCTCTTTTCATTAAAGGAACTGAGTTGTTGCCACAAAACTCAAATTTGTTAAACCTATATCTTTGCCACCTGATGGTGTAAAACTTTAATATTTCAAACTTAGACTTCTTGATCTAACTTGATTAATAGTTTGAAATATCAAAAGTACAACATCAGGTTGCAAAAATAAGGGGAGAAGAAAATCAGAAATTGGGCAAAAACTCAAGTCCTTTGGTCCCTGATCAAAAGTTCAATACCCTGAGGATTTTGAAGAAGGTCTAAACCCCCGAAATACAGTTCTAACCAGAAAACAATTGAACAGGAAGACGACATTATAACAATAACAAAGCAAATAGTTTTACGTGACACTTATTAAATCAATAATTTAGTGAAATGGGCCATTTTACTCTGTACAATAGCTGTATCTCATGCTCATTGGACTTTTTCAAGTCATGACTTAATTCTAATAGTCGTCTGCCTATTTTAGAGTTTTCTGGTTATCATTGTATCATTTGTTTTGTTCAGAATGAAGGTTGGAGGGGAAAATTGTGCTCCAGGTTTTAATTTTTCTATCCAACCATCATAATAAACAAAGAAATGGTATTATTCGTTTTAAAAACAAACATATTTCGGTGGTTTTGACTCAAGGTAAACAGAGAGTCAATACCTGCCCCTGAAACGGAATTCCTTGAATCAGATCTTGATATTCCCAAACACTAAGCTCAGTATACACTCTAAATCATGAAGGAGAATTTTTATCACACATTATACATAACATTTTAAGATCTAAAATATAACCTGTTTATTGGAGGAAAACTGAGCTTCTCTTCATGTCTGAAACATTAGAATTTCAAAATCGAAATAATTGTTTTGAAATAAAAAAACTTACATCACTTGATATGGAGCGTAGCAAACTTTAATGGCTCCCGAAAAGTCTAAAGGAACAGAGCTTAAGCATGAATCATTTGTCACCTAAATATCAACATTTTGATATTGATAATATTGGAGGTTACAATATCTAAAATGTATTGTAATTTCAATGCACGCGTTATTTAAAAACAATAAAACATAGATTGAAGAAACGAAGGGCTCTATTTGCGGTTGAAAAATACACACATTTTTGTAAGCGTAATTTTGAGTGACTCTCCATGCAAAGATGGCAAGGTTTTAGGTACCTTCCCAAAGACATTTTCCCAAGGGCGACTTCCCAAGTGACAATTTCCCAAGTGGCAACTTCTCAATTGGGCAATTTCTCAAGCGGCAACATCCAAAAGGTTAGTTAGGCCCTCTGAGGCGCCACAGGCTGCAATGGGGGCCGAGCGCTGCGTCTAGGTTTGAAAACTGATTATTTTCATTTGTGGGTTCTTTACAATAAGGACTTGCGCATTTCCACTATAGGAAAATATTAAAGGAATTACCAGAATCAAACACTTTGAAACCTAGAAAAACTGCAATATATTCTATATATCTCCCTATCTTTACTCCTTTCTTGTTAAGAACAAGAAAGGAGTAAAGATAGGTCCAAGAGAAAGGCTGGCCTCCAAGGTAGGAGTCAGGAAAACTCATTACAGAGAAGATAAAACCTGCAACATGCTACATATCAGTGATAAAAAGAGGTTAGACATGGGGAAATCCTGCCTCAAGTACTTCATGTACATCTACAAGATCATCATCCGAAATGAATCCCGTATCTAAATTAATTAAAACATTCAACTTGCTGAATCCAAGCTAGCCAAACCCTGTTGTTTTTGTTGAAAACTAAGAGAATAATACTTGATCCAGAGCTGTGCGATAAGCACTTATGCATTTTAGCTCTAGGCGTTTATGCATTTACGCCCTTATCAATAATTTTTGCTGATTTTTAAAGTTTTTTTTTCTCTCGTTTTTCTTTTATTGAATATATTATCTTTGCTAAAATAAAAGGGCGACCAAGCCACTTTACAAATTCATAAATCCATAATTTTTGCAGATTTATTAAAAGTTTATCTCTATTTCTTCTTTCATGGAATATTTGAAATCACGTTTGTTATTTTATCTGAAACTATAGAGGGAGAACAAGGCACTATAATAACTATAATTATATTCTAAGTGTATAAGTGTTCTTTTGTTTTTAATAAAGTATTTGAGAAGAAATATTCTACATATTGATCAGATAAAGGTTTCAAGGGTAACGTTGTGAATTATCATCTTTGCATGGAGGGTCACTTGAAATTACAATCATTTAGGAATAAATAAATAAAAAGAAGATGAATTTATTATCATGGTTTTATCACCTTATTTTGTTTAATTCTTGGTACACCCAACATCATATTATTGTACATAATCAGCTGATCGGGTAGAGGAAGGATACATGGTTTTATAGCCGGCTCACCATTAGGACACCTAGGACAAAATTTTTTATTATTTTTGCAACCTGGTGATGTAAATCTTTGACTTTTCAAACTTCAACTAATTTTTTGTGGTCAGTACGTTAATCTTGAACGCTAAATCACGATATTCAATTTGGGTAGTATTAAATTTGAAGATTAATCTTTTATTCCTCAATTACCAATTACGACCTCCACCGCATACTAGAGAGGAATTAAATTAATCCGAAGATTTGTTTGAGATGAAGAAAATGCTTCATCCCGTGATTCACAACACCAAAGTTCTGACTTCAAGTTGCAAAGATATAGGTATTAGTCAATCAGAGTTTGTGGCAAGTGTTTAGTTCCTCAATAAAATGATGTCTGAAAAGTACCATGAATAGCATCGATTATAAATATATATAATGAAACAGAGTTTATCTCTGTGATGGGACAAATATTTGCTATTTTCTTCAGATGAAAATGTAAAGATATCTTGTACAGATGTCTGCTAATGCTAATGTTAATATTTTTCAAGAGCTAATTTGCCCTAGCACTCTCATTTTTGACACTATCACAGTGAAATGTTTTGACTTTTAATAAATAGAAACTTAACGGATTTTTCTGTAAAATTTTTCTTTTATGCAAAGTGCGATAAAAAGTCCGGTCTGTGATCTAAAATAGCGCACACCTTTTTTGTGACTAAAGCTACAGATATAAATATTATTTTTTTTGAAAAGCCTTTAAAAAATTAATGTAGAAAATGTGTCACACTTTGATAACAAAGAAAATATTTTTTTTGACCTTGTTTTGGCATTTTTTTCAACCCTCCCTAGCGCCCAAACTATAAAAGTTATCGATCTAATTTTTTTTTCAATGAGCTGACCTTGAAAAAATAGGCTACGAACATGCATTTCAAACCTATACCTATTCTCTAAGGCCTTACATAGATTCAGACCCCCCAGCCTTTATAGGGTTAATGAGCATGCCTTGAAAAGATGGACTAGGGGCATGTATCACACTACGCCATCTATGTTAGGCAAAAATAGCCCAATCGGGATAGGGTTAGGAATATTGTTTTAAACAAAGGGTCATTTAAACTTAAATAACCATTCCCTCATGAAGAAACCTAAAAAATAACAAAATTAAATTTGTTTTACCTGTGCTTTGCTTTTTTGCTTCCTTCATTATATTGAGTTTCCCAGTGCAAGCCTGGAGTTTGTGCATGAGAAATAACAAAACAGTTTCGAATAATACAGAAATTAATACCAAAATAAGATTTTTAAAAAATATTCTGTTTTAGAGATAAAGTTAACATAGCTGTAAAGTTAAATATACTGATTAACTAAACCCTGTTTGGGCAGCCGAGTTTTCTTTTTATTTAAGTTCAGTGATAACCAGATACCAATGGAATAGGAAGACGACAGTATAGCAATACTTAAGTGTATTTGATGTGTTACAAAGCAAATAGTTTTACTAGACTCTTTTTGAATCTCTAATTTAGTAAAATGGGTCTGTTTACACTGCACAATTGCTGAGCTTTATGCTCATTGGACATTTTAAACTTGATTTTCAAAGTCGTCTTCCTATTTCAGAGTTTTCTGGTTATCACTGCACTGTAGTAAACGAAATCATAATTCTGAAAGAACTAATTTTGAAATAATATTTCTGAAAAAAATATTGCGAATAATGTATTTAAAATTAATGAACTTGGGTTCCCCAGACCAAGGTTCTCAATGTTAAACCTGACTTTATGTTTGAAGACGGAAAAATATATCTTAAATTAAAGAAATAGATTTTTTATCCAAAAAATATAAAATACCAGTAATTCATTGCCTCCTATTATTGGATTTTATATGATGAAGTATTAAAACTTCGTAAGCTTACTAACCTTCGATCAAATCATTTTCCATGAAGTTCCAAAAATCATAAATAGATGTCACTTTTTCAATTCTATTGAATAATGTTTTCCATTGATTGTCCAAACCTAAATTGACAACTCCTATTAAAATAGTTTCTTGCCAATGTTAAACATTTATTTTCAGATTTCAGTCTGCTTGTTTAAAAACGGTGGTTCAAAATAGAACAATTTTTTCCCAACATTTTTTTTACTCGAATTTGGAAAATTTTGAGAAATTAGGAAAATCTGCGTTTTTTTTGAAAAATCTCCGAATATCAAGGATTATTACAAAAGAACCATACATATTCTTCACCTGCAGCATTTGTATTACTCCTCTCATAGTTGATAAAAACCAATTGTGTCAAAAATATGCTGAAAATATCAAACTTTGGTTTACGGACAAGAATATGCTGAAAATATCAAACTTTGGTTACGGACAAAAATGATCACGTATTGCATAGTAGATTATTATCAATCTGAATTCTGACCGGCCCGATCCCTTTTTACCGGTATTAGTGACGGGTGGCAAGTACCGCCCCGACCCATATATCTTTGCCGGCTCGGTTTGAACTTTTATGGCGTGGCCACACTACCCGGCCTACCATAGGCCTATTTGACCTAACCCACTAACTTAATTTAGTGTGATTGATAATTTAAGTAATGCATATTATCTTAGCTCATCGTTAAAATTTCATGAAACGGATATAACGGATGTAACCCTTCAATTTATTTGTATTCTAAAATAAATCGTTTTTCAGTCTTTCATAGATTTGTTTAAAATGATACCAATAAATTAGAAGTTCCTGGAGTGTTCTTTTTGCCAAGGTTTCTCTACTCAACACAGATTCCTTCAATTTTTGGCAAATTTTTGAAATAATTTTAGATAATTTTTTATTATTTTTATTAAAAACATCAGTAAAGTTTTAAATCAAAGCATTAAAAAAACAATTATAAAATTTTACTAGCTATTTTTTTGTTTTAATTAAATTTAGCAAAATTTCCTTTAACGATTTTTGTTTATAGAAAAATTTAAACCACTTCAGAGTGTTTTTTGGCTTAGAACTCAGTTTTTCTATATTTTGAGGTTTAGAAAAGGCGTTCTCTGATTTTGTTAGAGACATATCTTATCTAAAAATTAATATTTTTTTGACTTCTCCCTAGATCATAAAATAGACATTAGATCATAAAATAGACATGAGATCATAAAATAGACATGAGATCATAAAATAGACATCAGATCATAAAATAGACATTAGATCATTCATAAAATAGACATTAGATCATAAAATAGACATCAGATCATAAAATAGACATTAGATTTTCATTTTCAAATTTCTTTAAAAAAAAAGATTTTTAAAAAGATTCATGTGTTTTAATGTGAGTGTCTGTAGTTCAACTGAACCAACAATTTAATTGATGTTTTGCAAAAACTTTTGGCTTTAATTTATTCGTCCACAATGCAACATGTTAGTCGTGAATTGATTATAATTAAACATTTATAAACTTATATTGAAATGAACAGAATAAGCAATAGATTGTTATATTTAAATATTTTTCATTTTATTTATATGATTTTTTTACATGGTTTTAGTTTAAAGAAAACACAAATTTAAAATAAAAATATTTTTTAAATAACATTTTTTTTAAATATTGTACAATATACATGTTTATCCCATTCAAACTTTAATTATGTTTTGCAAAAATGTTCTGAATAAAAAGTTTTAAAAATATTTTCGTGTCAATAGCTTTGCCTATTAATGTTCAATGAATAAAAGATTATAAATATGTATTTAGGAGAATGAACAACAACAAACATATAATTAATAAATTGAATGTTTTCCTCTGTTTAAAGGAACTGCTGACGTTATTTCAAATAATACTTTATTTAAAGAGAGGCATACCCCATTCACAATTTGGGTTTCCATTTGTAAATTTTTTTTGCAATTTTTGCAAAAGAAAGAACAAATTATTCGTTGCGCTACATTCTTGTGCGAAAAAATAGCACTTTGCACAATCATTCGCAACCTTGATTTTGCGCAAAAATACGCTATTCCGCTATTGCGTTCTTCTTTTTGCGCAATTTTGAGGGAAAAAATCTTATTGAAGGGTTGATTAAAGGTGCAAACTGTATAAATTAGTTATCTATGAGATTGCATTTGTTTGCATACAATTACAATGCTTAAAAAAAGATTATTTGTCTAAAATTCTACTTTGCAACCTGATGCATAATGGAACACTGCAAATCACGCTCTTTCACAAAAATCGAGCAGTATTTTGTGTATTACTGCTTTTAAACTTAATTAAGTTAGCTTTCTTAAAATGTATAGACCTACAAAAACGTATCCGTGAGTTGGCGAGGTAAAACCAAAAACCACGGCGTTGCCACACTTCTAAGTCGAGGCTTTATAAAACTTTGACTTTCAGAGTTGTTTAAATCTCAGTGATGACCAAGTTTCTGAGTTGTCTATATCTCAGTGATGACCAAGTTTCTGAGTTGTCTATATCTCAGTGATGACCAAGTTTCTGAGTTATCTATATCTCAGTGATGACCAAGTTTCTGAGTTGTCTATATCTCAGTGATGACCAAGTTTCTGAGTTTTCTTTATCTCAGTGTGCATATTCCTTTGATATTTCAATCATATGAATTCGACGAAGTAGTCAAGATTTAAAATATCAAAGATTCAGTCATCTATAAAAACTATGCATAAATTTTAAATTTTAAATTCTATTTTTGTCCCGCAAATTTGAATTCTTTATAACTGAAAGTAACCAATTGAAAGTGGCAGAATCATATTTTTTTGCATTTAAATACTTGAATAAAAATCCAACTGTTCAATTTCGTGCTGAAACTATCAATTTTGGTCAATTTGCTTTAAAATATGTTATTGCTTAAAATTTACATTTTGCGCAACCGGCAACACTTCTTGTTTTTCGCAAATTACGAAAAAAAATGTGCAAAACCGCACCAAAGTTTACAAACAAAATTTGAGTGAAAATTACGCAAATTTTGCGCAAAAGTATGGTCATTTCGTGGAAACCCTATTCACAATGGTACCATCTAAACATTTATCAGAGCAATAATGGGTGAGAAAACGTCGTTTTTTTCAGATGGAAAAGTTTAAAATTCTTCACATGTTCTAAATTTTTTATGATGAAGAAACTCGCAAGTCACTTTAAAGAGAAACCTCAAATGAAAATTATCAATTTTCGAACGAGAAAATGTCGGATATTTCATGCATTCTTGATCATATGCTTTTAGAGGTACTGTTGTGAATTGGAAATTCCATTCTTTCAATGGGGGTTCACATTAAACTACGCCTTTTATTCCTTTAGCTGGAATAAAGCTGAATCAGAATATTGTATTGTTGAAATAATGACAAATGGAAACGGTGTGTTTAATTACAGTGAGCAGAAGATTAAACTTAATAGAAGTAATCAGTGCTTTACACCTTGGTGTGATCTAAACAGTTATTTTCTCTCATCTTTAGAACTTAGGTAAGTCTCGTTATAGTATGCAGTTGTAGTCTTAAGTCTTTAGTTTTAAGTCTTAAGTTTTAAGTCTTAAGAATTAAGTCTTAAGATTTAAGTCTTCAGTCTTAAGTATTAAGTCTGTATTCCTAAGTCTTTAGTCTTAAATCTTAAGTTTTAAGTCTTAAGAATTAAGTCTTAAGTATTAAGTCTGTAGTCTTAAGTATTAAGTCTGTAGTCTTAAGTATTACAACTGTAGTCCTAAGTATTAAGTCTGTAGTCTTAAGTATTAAGTCTGTAGTCCTAAGTAATAAGTCTGTAGTCTTAAGTATTAAGTCTGTAGTCTTAAGTATTAAGTCTGTAGTCTTAAGTATTAAGTCTGTAGTCTTAAGTATAAAGTCCTTATTCTAAAGTCTTCGTCTTTAGCCTATAGTCTCAAGTCCCTTCTCTCTAGTCTGTAGTCTCTAGTCTGAAGTCCCTATCTTATAGTCTCTAGCCTCAAGTCTCAAGTCTTAAGTCTCAAATCTCTATTTTCAAGTTTCAAGTCTTTTTTCTTTAATCTCTAGTCCCTCAAGCCTCACTAGTCTCCACTCTCTAGTCTCTCAAGCCTCACTAGTCTTCGCTCTCTAGTCTCTCAAGCCTCACTAGTCTTCCCTCTCTAGTCTCTTAAGCCTCACTAGTCTTCACTCTCTAGTTTCTCAAGCCTAAGTAGTCTACACTCTCTAAGTCTCTCAAGCCTCACTAGTCTTCACTCTCTAGTCTCTCAAGCCTCAATAATCTCCACTCTCTAGTCTCTCATAGCCTCACTAGTCTCCACTCTCTAGTCTCTCAAGCCTCACTAGTCTCCACTCTCTAGTCTCTCAAGCCTCACTAGTCTCCACTCTCTAGTCTCTCAAGCCTCACTAGACTCCACTCTCTAGTCTCTTGTCTTGATCTAATTTAAAACGTTTACTATTTCAAATATTGTTTTGATCAAGACACAAGAAAGTTCATTTTCTTTAAAGCATTGTTAAAAAAGGGGACTATGACCCTTCTCCTTTCTCAAAGGGTGTGAATTGAATTCAAGATTGAATCTGATCAAGGATTAAATTTCTCGTATTTTGTGTCCTTCAGAAATAAGCAGTTGTGTGTGCGTGTGACGGGGTGTGTGTGGAGTGTGTTAAAGTAAAAACTAAGTCAGATTTTTGTGCAAAAATCTGTTTTCGACTAAAATTTCACCAGTGTCATTTTGATACTAATAATTTAAGTAAATTGGATCACTCGTTAGTTAAACCTGCCAAAAAGTATCAAACGGTGCAAAAAAAACTTAAATTTTTGTATCCTTAGGGCTCAGAATATTAAACTCAATTGAAGTATCTGAGAACACAGAACATATCAATCTATCGATGTATATTACACTGTTAACTGTTAGTTTCTCTGGTTACCTTAGGNCCCTCCACATTAGATCTTAACTGTTTCAAAGAACAGTCCTCAATAATAGTCCTTCTTTAGTTCTGTGTTAAAAACCGGGACTAGAAAGGATTTTCAAAATTTCTGAGGTCAAATAAGAAATAAAAGATTTTAATCCTTTTTTCATATTATATTGTCATTAAAATATATGGTTTTAATTTTTTTCATTTTTTTTTCATGAATTCTTAGTTTATCTGTATCCCTGTATCTAAGTATCCCCGTAAATAAGTATCCCTGTAACTGAGTATCTCTGTATTTGAGTATCCCTGTATCTGAGTATCCCGGTATCTAAGTATCCCTGTATCTAAGTATCCCTGTATCTAAGTATCCCTGTATCAGAGTATCCCTGTATCCCTGTATTTAAGTACCCCTGTCTCTGAGTATCCCTGAATCTATGTATCCTTGTAACTGAGTATCCGTGTATCTAAGTATCCCTGTAACTAAGTATCCCTGTATCTAAGTATCCCTGTAAATAAGTATCCCTGTACCTAAGTATCCCTGTATCTAAGTATCCCTGTATCTAAGTATCCCTGTATCTAAGTATCCCTGTACCTAAGTATCCTTGTATCTAAGTATCCCTGTATCTGAGTATCCCTGTATCAGAGTATACCTGTATCAGAGTATCCCTGTATCTAAGTATCCCTGTATCTAAGTATCCCTGTATCTAAGTATCCCTGTACCTAAGAATCCCTGTATCTAAGTATCCCTGTATCTGAGTATCCGTGTATCTAAGTATTCCTGTATCTGAGTATCCCTGTATCAGAGTATACCTGTATCAGAGTATCCCTGTATCTGAGTATCCCTGTATCAGAGTATACCTGTATCAGAGTATCCCTGTATTAGAGTATCCCTGTATATAAGTATCCATGTATCCGAGTATCCCTGTATCTGAGTATTCCTGTATCTAAGTCTCCCTGTATCTAAGTATCCATGTATCTGAGTATCCATTTATCTGAGTATCATATCTATGTATCTCTGTATTTAAGTATCCCTGTATCCCTGTATCCCAGTATCCCTGTATCCCTGTATCCCTGTATCCCTGTATCCCTGTTACCCCTGTATCCCTGTATCCTGCAAGGCTGGAACTGTATCCCTGTATCCCTGTATCCCTGTATCCCTGTATCCCTGTATCCCTGTATCCCTGAATCCCTGTATCCCTGTTTCCCTGTATCCCCGCCAACGATTGTAAAAGTCTGGATCTGTTTAACTGTTCTAGGATAAGTTGTGAGCTAGAGAGAATCTTGGTTTGAGTTGAAAACTGTAAAAACTTGAAAATGTTTTCTAATTGTTATAATTAGACTTGGAAAGGATGGAGACAATAATTTACAGGTGACTACTCCCCCCCCCTCCCATTCCCTCCCTTCTTCACCTTATTAAAGGAACTACTGGCCCCCCCCCCCTCAACCCAATACATCGGCCATTTTTTTTTCTAAACCCCACTTTTCTCACAATGTCACTTTTAAGAGCCAATTTCCTGAAAATCCACCAAACAGACAAACCACGGCACTGCACGGAATCACCTGATGTACAAAACTGTAATGTACTGTACATAAGGATCGTGTAGAGTAAACACAAACAAATAATGTATACAATTTCAAAAAGACTTTAATTTTTCCGACAACACTTAGTAGGGATGTATGATTAGATAAGTAGATTGATAGGTGAATTAAGAAATAATTAGTTACATATCATTCTAGGTAAAAACATGTTATAGGTAGACATAACATAGATTTGTCAGCAATTCTATGGGATAGAATTAATGAAATGCTTTGCTGTCCATCCTACCTCATTTTTCTATGATATACATATAGATAGATAGATAAGTAGACATATAGATAGGTAGATAGATAGATATATAGATAATTAGATAAATAGACAAGTACATAGAAAAATAGTAGACAATCAGACCGAGATAGATAGATATGTATTAATAGATTACTAGATTTAGACAAGTAGACCAATAGTATACAGACAAACAGACAGAGATAGATAGAAAGATGTCTAGAAAGATAGCTAATTAGAAGATTTACAAAAATACAGACAGAAAACTATTAGTAAACATTACATGGGAGGGTTGTCTGGGGGGGGGGGGGTCAATCTCCCTTTCTTCTGGATCAAGGAGTGTGTGAATGAGTGTGGATGAATATATGTAAATTTGAAATGTGTGAGAAATGATTTGAGAGTTGTGACTGAAATATCCAATATATGAACATAATGAATTTGGTCAAAATATCTCTCAATATTGGAAAAACTAAGGGATTAACGGTTTTTTTTAAATCTTAAAAAATCATTCAAAGAATTTCTTTTAAAAATTTAGAAAACAATTCTTTTCTCTTAATATTTGTAAGGACGGGCCAACCCTGGGTTATGAAGAGTTTTCTAGGATATGGGAAGTGGAATTTGAGATATGGTGGGGGGGGGGGTCCTAGGGTCAGCGTAATATTCTCTATATTGGGGAACTTTCGGGGACAAAATATGGCACCGGTTCCAGCCCTTAGCAGGCGAGAAAAATGAGTAGAGACAGAAATTGTTTTTTAAATGTTTAAAGTAACTGGCCGGCTTCTCGCTTTAAACTCTATTTTATCTAATTCTCATGTCACCTCTTAAGTATAAAAATAAAAGGATTTCATCATTGGGTTGCAAAAATATGTATAGTGTATAAATAAGATTTTAAATGATTTTAATCTAAGTGAATTTTATTTTACCGTTTATATATCCGTATATGTCACGACTCACGTTATACTTAGGTAAATCTTATTGGCTACTCTTTTCCAAGAGCTATTGAGAAGAACAAATATATATTGAATTTCTAAACTGTGTCTGGACAAATTCCACACTTGTGCATAAAATCAAAACTAGAGAGCTATACGGTCACAACGTTGTACCAGTCAAGGAGAATTGAATACAAGGAGGGGGCGATAGGGTTTCCGTACACTTTGCTGTGACGTTTTTGGACTGCTGGAGAACTAGTTTTTGCGTAACAACAATAATAAAGATTGTAAACAATAACACAAATGATAAACAGACATTGGTGCATCTCTAGAAGATTCACCGTATACTAACTCATGTTTGTTTACATTAGATCGGCTGCCTTTGTTATTGTTGTTATTACTAACTCATGTTTGTTTACATTAGATCGGTTGCCTTTGTTATTGTTGTTACGCAAAAATTAGTTCTTCAGTAGTCCTAAAACGTCACAGCAAAGTGTACGGAAACCCTATCGCCCCCTCCTTCTACTCAATATCTCCTTGCCCTCAACTATGTTTTGGTGTGTACTGCAATGTTTTGCAGTACAGTGGCCAAAGAAATATCAGGTTTTAGTGGAGAGTGACATCTGCAATATGTGCAATGAAGGTGTTTTCTTTTGTCACAAGGGGTTAGACACCCTAGATAATTTATCAAGAAAAAGATACGGTAGAAATGGAAAGGAAAGGGGGGGGAGTGATGATTTATGGGAAGGGCAAAGGGGGATGTACGGGGGGAGGAGGGGTGGAGATGTGAGAACAAGTAAAGGTTATCATCATCCAGTAATGTATGAAAGATTTATGTAAAAAAATATGATATTTTACGTTTCATCTGACAGGGTTAAACACACAGGGGATAAATCAAGGTTATGCAAGGATTAAGTTATTTCAGAGATGTACTGCAGTATACTGTCTCTGGGCTGTAATGTAAACACAAGACGGATGTCGAAGCCTGACATGGGATCAATCTTTCACATAAAAAATCAATGAAATATTCTGGCCGTAGGAAATCAATATGTGAATTATCAAATTTTCAAAATGTAATGCTTTTAACCTCCTCGGAAACTAAACAAACACTGATACATCTATTCTTGTTTACAAATTACGCCCAGAGAGAACTGGTTTCAATATGTACGCAGAGTATACGCAACTGCAATTAACTTTCCTTGCATTATAACCTTGGGATAAATGATGTCTCATATTTAGGTGCAATTCAAGAAGTTATGAAGGGCTCCCAAACTCTCAAAGTAGCATCTGTAGAAAATAAAGAAATGTTTGACTTGATCAGTAAAGTAGAAGATATCGTCAATTTTCTAGCTTGATTTAAACCATCACAATTTTCCCATTCCCCCTTCAGCAGAAATCCACAAGTGACTTTAAAAAGAAATCCAAATTCAAAATGGAGGAAATTATGAATATCTTGCTTTTGTGAATCGGACATGTCACTTTACAAATGGAGTGTCCCTTGAAATTACGAAGATCCTTGAATATTAAAACTATTCAAGGATATTTCAAGTTTTGATAAGTTCCAAGGGCCTGGCTTTCTTATCAAACTAGTACAGTCTGTCACTATGCTGCTTTGGCTACCCATCATAGTTATTTTACTTGAAGAACTAGTTTTTATAACTGGTTTTAATCCGTACATCTGTACTCAACCTATCAACAAGTTTAACTGTACATTTTCCTACAATGAGGAGACAATGTCATATGAGGTAAATATTACACGTTTTAGGAATATTAATTTCCAGTTTTATTGAATCAACATTTTTTACTTCAATTACATTGAATTACAGATGCTGATGTTTGAGATTTTTGAGAATTTTTTTGTTTGTTTTAATTTTCAAACAAAATTTTCACACGTTTAATAGAAAAAAAACAATCCAACACCAATCCATGATCCCAACAAGCTGATTTTTAAACGTGTAAGATGTTATAATTAATTTCTTTCAAGAGCTCTTCGGATTGCCGTCTGATATTTTTGAATCCCTCTGATGGAATTTTCTACTGGAGAATAGATAACAACTCCAAGGATACTTATTGGATTAGCACAGCAACCAACATCTGTCCACAGGTACAGATATTGTTATAGATGACCGCTCAAGGAAATATTGAACCAGGATTACTCAGTTGATATTAAAGTCTGAGGTAGAGGGTATGAACTCCATTCTATGCCTTCTACTCCAGGATGTAGGAAGGATGGGTCAGGAGGATAACATCAACCATCACTGGGACTTGACCCCTGAGAGATAGCCTCTGTCCAGAGCCGTAAGAAGCAAGACCAGAGGCCATGGTCAAGTAGCAAGTCCTCCAATTGACCTTTTAAGTAGAATTGTAACATTTACCCCCTTTTTTTACATGTTATTTCAATATAATCTTAAAATAACATCGCCTCTTATTTACTGTCTGTCAAGATTAATACATTGACAATTCTACTTACTAGGTCAATTGGAGGACTCATTGCTTGACCCTGGCCTCTGGTCTCGTCAATAAGCACTGGAACCTGCCTTACACCAACTCTTTTGCAGACTTAAGACTATCTCTGGCCTCTGGTCTTGCTTCTTACCGCTCTAGACAGACGCCTCTAACCACTACATAGATTGCAGACTATGGGTTCTCTCTCTCAGGGGTCAAGTCCCAGAGATGGTTGATGTTATCCTCCTGACCCAGCCTTGCTCCTTCCTGGAGTAGAAGGCGTAGAATGGAGTTGATAACCTCTACCTTGAACTTCAATATCAACTGAGTAATCCTGGTTCAATATTTCCTTTTATACTGTTGGCTGAGGGGTCATCTATGCAACATCATCTTTGAAATGTGATAAAACACTAAACCAGCTGGTTACCTCTTACAGACCAAGGGAGAGGAAGGTATGGGGGGGGGGGGTTCAAATATAATAGGGAATGCAGGAGTAATTTTAAGTGATTCTCAATGCAAAGATGGCAAATCCCAATTCAAATTTTTTCCCTTAAAACCTATATTTATTCAGAACTAGCATTGTTTTTGACATATAATGATTGGCCTGTTGCGCTTATGCAATTATAGCAGCTTTATAGCTTCGCCTTGAGTCTTTCAGCTGTAACCTGTATGGCCTTATCATTCATATCTGCTAGAGGATATGATTAAACAAAAAACTCCTTAATTGTATAAGCTGATTAATTTGGTGATTTTTTACAGGTAAAAAATTAAACTAAACAGTTCCTTATGGGTTTATTTTTGTGTATAACTCTTATAGTTGATTTCTTAGCCATTTTACCTAGAGATACATTTGTTTTCTTTTATTTATCTAAAGGTTCCCACTTACATTTTAAACTCTAGAACTCTTTATATTGGCAATACAAGCAATTGTGAATAAAAATAGTCCATGCAAAATAATCTGATTTGAAAATGGTTTAGTAGTTGTTTTAAGTCATCTACGACCTGACGTTGCAAATTGCAGCTGCCAGCTAGCGGGACAGTAGGCATTACATAGACTCTATCTACCTTCTACGCTCTACATGTGAGGTTCTTATTTGCGCCCATCTCCTTCTTCTTTAAAGCAATGCTTCTCTTCAGAGTTGTTAGAGCAAGGATTATTACTGTTATCTTCATCTGTTTATTATGCCATCATCAATATAAGATTCCTGATTTTTAGGTTTAATTTATTAATGAAAAGTACAGGTGAACTATATACTACACCCTTTACACAGTAAACTCAAAGGTAAAATAACCTTAATTGCAACCAAACAATGAAAGAGTTATCCTTGTTCTCTTTTCTACAGACTAAATTCACTATAAAGGTTTAAAGGTACCATTGTGAATCCGGCATACCCTTTATTAATTTTTTTTTCTCTTTTAAAAAATGAAGATTGATTGAAATGACTGTAATTCTGTTTTCAGGATGTGGTCTGGAAGGAATGTTTTGAATCTGAAGAAGAATGTAGCAGGGTGAGAACTGAAATTTTATTACTTTTCAATTTTAAAGTTTGTTTGAAATTTTATTCAGGTCAACATCCTAGGGAGAGGACGAACAATGCCAACGGAAGAGAAAAATTACTTCTGTAAAAGCGGTGAAATTTAATCGTTTTATATTGTCTCTCGAACTCCTTTTGTTAATAAAGCTAGAAATTAGCTGAAATTCTGTTACAGTCACCATAATAAAGCATTTTTATCGAACTTGAGACTATTTTAATCTATATAATTCTAAAAAAGCTGAGATAATAATTGCAACAATTTTCCAAGACACTAATTTCTGTACAACTTAAAAGTTGTGAAATTTTGTTTTCTCACATAAATAGGGTTTCCAGTCGGAATCGGAATTATGTGGAGTTGCGCAAAATTATTGGGCTCACAATTGCACAAGTAAAATCCACTTGCAGTGGAAACCCTACATTCTAACTGAATGTTTGTAATTTTGAATGCTTTCTAACAGTTAAACTTTTCCATTACATTTCTGATAGGATTCTAGTGTGTGATTCTAACATATATCAGTGCAAATTTTCCCTTATATTTCTGATTGTGTTCTAGTGTATTTTAAAGTAACATTTCTTATATATTTCTGGCAGCGTTTTAGAGTATTTTACAGTGCAACTTTTCCTTTATATTTCTGGTAGTGGTTTAGAGTATTTACAGTGGTTTAGTGGTTTTTTAATTATAGGAACAGTGGTGAGTTTCGAATCATGTTTGGTGATCACAGGGATAGGAGGATGTCTTATTTTCCTTGGATTTCTCTTCATTGCTTCAAAATATGTCCGTAAACTTAAAGGTAATTCCCCCCCCCCCTTTAAAAGCTCACTTATTTGTTGAACACAATTGTATAATAACAACATTTATTCACTTTCATTTCATACAATAATTCAGCTTCAGCACATTCTATATGACACTAAAGTTGATTATTGAACTAAAAATACAAAGGATACCTGTAGAAATGTCAATAGACTCATAATCATGGTAACGATAATATTTATCAACTTTTAACCTAATTGTTTGGCATATACTGGAATGAGATGAAACATTATAATACTTGAGTTTGGATAAGACTAAACTATTATATGAAAACTTTTAGCAAAAGGAATACTATATGTAGATGTAAATAATCTCTTCATAAGCTTACTATGTCCTTTACCATACCATGTACATGTTTTACAAATACTTGGGATAGAAATTCATCCCTGAAATAGACAGGTTTACTTTTGAGAATCTGCCTTGGTACACAGCCTACTGCATGCAATACAGGGGGCTTCAAAAATACTAAGATCTCTTCTGCATATTCACAGTTCAAACACCCCCCCCCCCCCATTTATCAACTTTCATTTGTTCCTTTACCACGGTCGGGGGTATTTTTTTGTTATATTATTGGAATTTGGTAAAGAAATTCTTGAAATGGTGATCAAAGAATTCCCTTAAACAAGTCACTTCGCAAAGAAACCGCAAATGAAAATGAAAAGTGTAAAGAAACAAAATCATGAATATCTAATTCATACTTATTCAGACAAGCTTTAAAAGGTATCGTTGTAAACCGGGCATTGTCATCTTTGTATGGAGGGTCACTTGAAATTACACTTACAGTCCCTTTAAGAAAGTGTAAAATCCAGGTTCTTCACGAGTAGTAGAGATGACTCCTTGTCATCAAAAGAAACTGGAATTAAAGGAATCTTCAAACCCACATATGGTTTCTTTATCAAACCCCTTGACTCTGGTAGAAATAAGCTCACAGGTATCTTATTGTGAGATTGTGAGAACCAGAAAACTATACAATGAACGACGTCTGTGTTCATTAGTTTACTAAAGAAATGTTGCTTGGATTTTGTCATTTTTAATTGTATTTTCTGTTATCTGGTTCTCACTGTACAACTTTGAATTATTTAAACTTTGATTAACTTCCTGACTCTCTCTGTACCTGAATGAACGTTTAATGAATAAAGAGCAGAGCTTAGGCAATTAATTTTACTGAATCGTGACTATGTGAGCATTGGTTTGTTTACCTTTGGGAGTAGTAACACAAATATAAATATTGAATTCGCTTCCCTCGGTAACACAGGATACGAACCTTCGTATACGTAAGAAATTTATATAAAAAAATTATGGTTTATCAACATTTTCGTGACAAAAAAGAGATGCACTATTAAGCCAAATTGATGTATATGTATAGTTGGATTTTAATTTAATATTTTTGTTTTGTTTTAAAAACAATTTTATATTAAAGAGGATAGAGAAGCAGTCTTTATAAAACCTGTTTATATTAAAGAGGATAGAGAAGCACTGTTTATAAAACATGTTTAGTTGAAAGAGGATGGAGAAGTACTGTTTATAAAACATGTTTAGATGAAAGAGGATGGAGAAGCACTGTTTATAAAACATGTTTAGATGAAAGAGGATGGAGAAGCACTGTTTATAAAACATGTTTAGATGAAAGAGGATGGAGAAGCACTGTTTATAAAACATGTTTAGATTAAAGAGGATGGAGAAACACTGTTTATAAAACCTGTTTAGATTAAAGTGGATGGAGAAGCACTGTTTAAAAATGCTGAAAAGGAGTTTTACACCATTGCCAGTACAGCAGACCAACTTAAAGAAATGTTTAAGTAGGATTTTTAATAAATACAAGCTTCTTCATATCGATGTTTTTTAAAAGATGTAAGGTATTTTCCTAAATTTTTCCGAGTGCACTTCCCAATAACAACTTCCCAAATGTTCAATTTCCCAAAGGTCAGGTTAGGCCCTTTGAGGCATCACGCTGTAGGCTGCAATGGGGCCAGGTGCTGCCACTAACTAAGGTTGCTGAGAGCTGTGGCTAGGACAGACTTGGGAAGTAGCCGCTTGGGAAATTGAACATTTAGAAAAGTCCCAGTTGGGAAAATACCCTTGGGAAGTTGGCGCTTGGGAAAAAGCCTTTGGGAAAATACCTAACATTTTTTAAAATGATGAATGGATTTTAGACACGGAAATAAACCCGGAAACCAGAATAAAAATCCTGATCCTGATCTTCTTCCGTACGACAGTAATAGGGTGGTTCTAAACCCAGGTTCAGGTAAGTGGTTGTCAGATTCTTTACTTTTTTTAAGACCATGTTTTATGTGAACTGTAGTGGCGCCATTTCCCTATCCTAGAGTTGGGCATACTTTTTTGAACGAACAAAATTTTTGTGAATAAAAGGAAGGACAAACACAATCGATCCTTCAGAAAAATCGCTCGAACTGAACTGAACAAACAAATTTTTACAAAGCTTTGGAAAAAACAGTGTTTTTTTTTTTTTTACCAACGAACGATTTCTTTTAAAAAAACTTTTGAAAAACGATAGTTTTTCTGTAAACAAACGATTTGTACGATTTTTTTTTGAAAAAAAATATCGTTTTTTATGAACGAACGAAAATAACGAACAAAATGGGTTGTTCACGAAAGATGAACGAACGTCGTGCCCATCTCTAATTGTTCCTACTGCAAAATTACAACAATGATTTTGAGAACATAAGTTAAAATTTGGTTTTCGTAAAAGTACAAAAAAAAGACCAAAACTTCTGTTTTTTTTATAGAAAATACGGATATAGGGGATTATGTGAATGCTTCTTGGGTCAGGTAATAAGGAATTCTATAACATTTTCTTATTCATATTCAATCAGAGCAATATAGGCAGCATAATTTTCTACTGAATTTTCACTCTTTTCTTATACAACACAGCAAATTTTTTTTTCACGTAAAGAAGATTGTTATTTCTCTAGCTTGAAAAGTTTCTAATTTCTATCATGTTTCCTTAGCGAAAATGCGCAAGTGACTTTTCTAAAAAAAACACAATTGAAAAAAATAAATTCTAAGTAAAATAAATATGTAAATATCATTCATTCCTGATCAGACAGGACTTTAAAGGGTACCGTTGTGAATTACAACTATAGTTCCTTTCATTGTTGAAAACTTAAATATTTATTTGTAAAGACATGCAAACCTTGACACTGAACTGATAATAACTGGATTACCTACCAGAGAGAACCCTGAAACCCTTCCTGTATTCTGGAAAATGATCAGGGATTACAAGGTGGGACAATTTACAAGTTGGAAATTAGAATTATGAAAAACATGCTTTTATTTGTTAATGTGAATCATATTGTTTATATTTGNTATGTTTGTTAAGGTGAATCTTATTGTTTATGTTTGTTAAGGTGAATCATATTGTTTATGTTTGTTAAGGTGAATCATATTGTTTATATTTGTTTAGGTGAATCATATTGTTTAAATTTGTTAAGGTGAATCATATTGTTTATGTTTGTTAAGATGAATCATATTGTTTATATTTGTTAAGGTGAATCATATTGTTTATGTTTGTTAAGGTGAATCATATTGTTTATGTTTGTTAAGGTGAATCATATTGTTTATGTTTGTTAAGGTGAATCATATTGTTTTGTTCGTTGATACAAGAAAAGCAGAACATTCAGTGTTTTTTCCAGATGGTAAAATTTCACATTATTTGTTAAATGAATTTAACATTTTTTGCTAATAATTTTGTTTCTTGAACTAATTGGTTTTAAGGTTTTGGAAAAGAAATAAAAATTGTTGCAAATAATTATACAAAATTTAAAAAATAACAATGTTTTTTTATTTATGAATGAATTAGAAAAAGGAACTGAAAATAGTCTTGATATTATGAGCTCAATCTACCCGGAGTTATCTCTGACCCTGACTGAAAAATCCAAAACTGCAGAACTTGTGGATTACTTTGATATTAGAATTCAAACCAACAGGAACAAAAATGCTGTAAAACGACATAAAGACAAAATGTGCTTTTCTGTTGAACTGAAAAGTTTGAGGAAACAACTATTTAAAAAATTTTAGTTTTTTTTTTACAGAAATATAAGATAAAAAATAGCTCTTGTGTAAAATTTTAAAATTAAGCATTTTTTTCTCTGAGATCTTCAAATTCGGATCTGGTGGAAATGCATAAAGGAAAATATTCTATTAGTCCTTATTTTTTTTATGTTTTGTTATTATGAAGCAGTATTAATACCCTGCTTATCAATTTGCAGGCCAAAAATTTAAGATGAGAATAAAGGCAATTTAAAAAAACATTTAAAAAAAAATTTAAAACTGCAATCTTTTTCTTGCAATAAATAACAATCCTTTCTGGTAAACTGGAATCTGTTTTATTAGAATTGAAATCTTTTAAAAACATGAGTTCATGACTCATGAGTCAGTAAACAAAAAGGATGTGCTATTTTGCAGTGAAAATCCACCAATTCAAAACTTTACCTGATTATAAAGAAATCAAAGGGACAGCCGCATATTTAGGTAAAAATATTTCAACGAAACAAAAAAAATGAAAATATTAAATTTGTGATCTATATTTGAAGAATGTGTGCAAGAAGTTTGGAGAAATATATCTGCAGATGACCTCAATAAAAGTGCAATTGCTTTTGTCAGTGATTTGGGTATAAAACACTCAGCTGTTATGATTGCTCTTATAGCTTTAATTGCGGTAAGCATAAACCCTTTAAAAGGGATTGTAAGCGTAATTTTGATCAAGTGACCCTTTGTAGCAAAAAAAAAACATGACATTTCCGATTCACAACCGAACCCTTTAAAACTTTTGTAGTAGCAAAAATTATTAAAAATATCCATGTTCGCTGTAAAACTGTCTTGCAGATTTTAGAAGAATGTAATTTACTGAATTTAACACTTTACATACAGTCCAATGTAAATTCGTTATTGATTGGAAATAATTTCCAGGAAAATGAAAAAAAGAATGAAGTCAACATTCCCAAGTTGGTTATGGGGTAAGGACAACTTTTAAAAACTTAAAAAAATATTTCTTATTAGTTAATGTTTCTATTTTAGTTTACGAAAGGATAGGATGAACATGGTATGTATATATTTTTTGACAAGAACAAAAAAGTTTTAACTATTTTTATGTAACCAAAGAAATTTACTTTTTGCATACCTAGGCTTTAAATTAAGAATGTACTCGTACTTTCGCATCAGATTGATAAATTAATTTAGTTTTAATTAAGATTCCTTCTGTGGAGGACTATAAGTTTCTATATGATGCTCTGGGTCACTATTCAAGGGTTAAGGAATTATCCTCAAACAAGAATTTCCTCTCAGTAGAAAACCTTTCAGGTCTCATCTTTTTTCTGAAAAAATGTTTAATTAAATAATATGAAAATTATTAAAATTCAGAAGTTAGACGAATAAGCGGCAAATTCATGAGAAGAGTCAAGTCTCATTATGAAAAAGGTAAGTTCAATATGTTTAAGATCTTCTCTAATTTTAGATTCTAACAAATATTCTAAAGAAACTCATTTTTTTAAAATTCGTCTTAGTAAGCTAATGATGAACATTTAACACCATCTATAATATATAAATTTAGCTTGTCTGTCTGTCTGTTTGTTTGTATCCAATAAACGTCAAAACGTTTTTAATGAAACAAAAATGAGGGTGAATTGGACCCCCCCCCCCAAAAAAAAAGTGAGAAGGGTTAAGTTCTGAACAATAGCACACATCATAGTAACTATGATAATGATGATAATGATGACACTTTTTTAATGTTATATCAGACAAAGTTGTGGAGGAGTTTAAGCTACTTGAAGCAGAGAAGGCTGTTATGTCACCCAAATCTATTGGAGAAAAGGAAGAGAATCAAAAGTGGAATTGGTAATATTTTTAAAAGAACCAACATAGCATTTTCATGACACTCTCAAATTACGAAATCTCAAGTTACATAATAAGATACCTGAACATTTTATTTGATCATGGCTTTCTCAATCAATTTGAAAAAAAATCACATGTTTTCCGAGTCTTGGTTTTAGGAACCTTGGTAAAATAAATGATGATATTCTTGTTATTCATCCCTAAAAGAGATTCTAAACGTAATTTAAAGCAATTCTCCTTTTTTAAACTGACTCCGATTCACAACGGTACCCTGTAAATCTTTGTCTGATTGAAGATGAATACAGGATGAGATTTTAATACTTTTTGATGCAGAAAAATGAAGGAGATTTAAGAATTTAACACATTTTAATACAGAAAAATACGAAATTTTTAACATTCAACGTTTTTTGTATTAATTCCACAATCTAGGGATCAAGAAGTTTTGCCTTATGATTTTAACAGAGTTATTATGTGGAAAAGTGATAATAGAAGTGATTACATCAATGCCTCATATTTCAGGTTTTTTATTGGATTTTATAATTTTTTTCAGGAATTGAAATTTATATATAAAATGGTTCCTGAGTGAATTCCTGACCTCACAAAATGAGTTTAGGAAATTAAAATTACTTATTTTCTTTCAGGAAAAACATGTAAGTTAAAAGAATTGAGCATTTGTCACAAACTCAAATGTACCAATCTCTATAACTTGTTTTACCTGATGGTGTAAACTGTAAACCTTTGGCATTTTAAACTTAGCTTATTTGATCTAACAAAACTCATAGTTTGAAATGTCTAAGGTACACGACAGTGGGTTGCAAAGATATAGGAATTTGAGAATTTGAGTTTTTGACAAATACTCAATTTCTTGGAAAAAATAAGATTTTTAAATAAGTATCAAATGAGTAAACATTGCTTTATCCGTTCCCCTCGGAAATTTAGATTTGTACATTGTCTTAGTGTATGTACATAGTACATGTACATTGTACATGTACTATGTACATACACTAAGATATATCAGAACAAATTCAGGTTGTCATCAGTTACTTATCCATTTTCTATATTAAAAGGACTGTAACTGTTATTTCAAGTAAACATCCATGCAAAGATGTCAATGCCTGATTCACTAGCGTACTCTTAAAAGCTTTGTCTGATCAAGTATAAATTATATATCAATGGTAATAATTTTGAATACTGATTATTTTCAATTGTGGCGTCTCTACAAAATTGACTTGCGCATTTCTATTGCAGGAAAACATAAAATAATTATTAGAATAAAACTTTTTTAAACCTAGAAACACAACAATATCTTCCATATTATTGGTCATATGTACCGTTGTAAATCGGGCATTGACATCTATGGATGGAGGGTCAATTGAAAGTGAGCGTACAGTCCCTTTAATTGCATAATTTTAATAATTCATCTTATTTCAGATTTGAGAATTTTTATGTTCCCGATGTGATAATAAGCCAAGGACCCTCTCCTCACATACCGGGATCTACAGAACGATTCTGGCAAATGGCTTCTCAGTCTAAGGTGGAATTCACATAATTTTCAGTATTTAAATGGTTTACACAAAAAGGTTGCAAAGATATAGGATTAGAATATTATAGTTTGTGACAAAGACTTAATTCGTTTAATAAAAAAATTAGATATTAAAGTAAGTATCAAACGTGAAAAATTTGCTTTCGCTGTGCTTTTAAAGAATTATATTATCTAAATGAGGACGAAATTTCACTTTAATAAGTTTAGAAGTATTGCATCGAAAAAATTGTAATGGGTTTTATCATATTCTGATTCTGATACAAAAATGTACAAGAAATATATTTTAGGCGTCTTGTGTTATACGACTTGAGTGTACAGCCGCTGAAGATTACAAACCAGGTAACGAACAAGACTAATTTATTGATAAAAGATTAACGAATTATAATAACCACTCCTGTATGCCGACTCCATTAGCGCCTGATCCAATCAGGGTTCAGTCATGTGTTGTCTATTCTGAACCAATAGAAATAGTATGGTGGTAACATCTATCTTTCCATCTAGCTCATCATCAAATTAGAGTTATAAATCATTCAATCGGCGCTATCAGTAAATGGAAATATTTACTTCTATTGAAACTAATGATATGCTTAAGTACAATGTTATGTTTACAATATTATTTTAACACTTCTTATGATGATGTTACTTAAAAGTCAAGTATTGAAGAAGGTTTGAAATGTTATGAATCTAATTTCAAATATTTTTAACTGTTTTAGGGCAAGAGATGAAATTTGGAAAAATGTCTCTTAGGTAT